TATTGTAACAAAATTTATAAATGCATATAATTCTAAGTTCTATATATTACATTTTATTGTTATTACAATAATTTTATTTTTAGGCGTGGTGCTAACAATAAATATACAAGAAATTGGCAAGATACTAAAGCTTATGAAAAAGAAAGTGGCCCTGGAGGTGTTAAGTCAGGACTTAACAAAAAATTTAGTAAAAAAAAACCTTTTGCTCCAGACGCTCAAAATGATTATGGAAAAGAATTTCCTGATGCATTAAATAAAAGTGAAAACAATGCTGGAACTGAAAATGAAAATTTCATTTCTACTAATCCTCACCACGAAAAACAACTAAAACAAACTATATCTTCAGCTGAGCCAACTTCATCTAAAACTAATACTAACCCTCCAGTAGAAAAAAAATTTGATAAATCTGAATCTTTAAATAAAACATTGATTCAAACTTCTAAAAACGAACAAAAACAATCTCAATCATATAACCGAAATAGTAGTTACAATAAAAACTATGATAATAAGGGTAAACAATTTGATTCTGGACCTCCATCTGGTAACAGACGCTGGAAACATAATTCTGAAGATGGTTCTAAAAATAATTTTGAAGGTTTTAATAGGAAAGGAAAGTATGAAGAGTTTAATAATTTTGAAGGAGGAAGAAGAAATCCTAAATTTAATATTGACTATGAATCCAACAATAGCACTGATAGTGGAAGAAGAAATAATTATGTCAATAAAGATTCTGGGCAATCTAACAGTAACTATTTTAATAGAAAAGGTGATTCTTATCAAAAACGTTATAGTCCTGGTGGTCCATCTCATTATCAAAATATGAATACATCTGATTATCGAGGTCACAGTAGTTCTAGTGGGCCTCATGTTAATAAAAGTCGCAGTTTTCATAACCAAATGAATAATGCTCAAAACCAATTAAATAAAGAGAGATATTTCAGTCGACCCATACCTAATGAAGACGAGCAAGCTTACAATGATGATATTGGAGATCCAGAAAGTATGCAAACACCTGTTCAATCACATAGGTATTCTCAACAACACCATCGTAACACTAGTAATGTTGGAGGGGTTAAAAAATCTTCTTTGCAGTATGATCAAGAAAAGCAACAATCAATGGCTCCTCCTCCAGCTACTGAACAACAAGTTGTTCGTAGTTCTAAGAGATATACTGCCCAAAGTCGCCGTACTCTACCTGATCCAGTTTTAAATTTTAGCGGAAACAAACAAAATATTCCTCAAACTCAATCTCAACCTCAACCTATACCTCAACAAATTCAACAATCAAGTTTACAACAAATACAACAGCAGCAGCAGCAAATACAACAAAATACTTATCAACAGCAACATCTACAACAACAACAACAATATAATAATATGATAGTTGAACAACAGCATCATTTGAATAATGGTATGATGATGGTAGATCATACTCATCATCCTCACCACCCTCATCAACATCATCACATAGCATATCATCAACCTCATAGTCATCACATGACTCAACAGCAACAGCAGCAAGGTATGGTAATTTATAAATCATAAAATGAATTTAAATTCAATTTTTTTTTTTAGAATTGTATAAATCATTAATATTTATCTAAAAGTATCATTTGCAATCATTAAAATATACATGTATTCTACGTATATAAATACATAATATATATTTTTGTGTAAATGTTTTTAAATGTATAATTAATTAACTAAACCTAAAATTTATTAAGAATAAAAATTTTAATTCTTAAACAGCAATGCATGGTTATGCACCAAGTCCAATGTCAGCTGGTGGTGCTGGCACATCAGACGAGCAACAACCTGTGGCAGCTGCAGCAGCAGCAGCTGCTGCTGCTTTGCAAATGTTATCATATGGAAACCCAGCAGCTCAAGCAGCAGCTTATCAACCACAGCTTATTAATTATCAAACAACAGCAGCTGCTGCTACACAACCACCTCCTTCAGCTTATATGACCGTATGTATCAAAACAAGATTTTATACCTAAAATGTTTAGCTCAATTAAAAGTTAAGTCCTTTTATAGTGCACTCAGTATTTCTAGGCACATGTCTTTATGTTATGGGACACTATATTTAATAAAATAATGTCTGTTCTTAATTTATGAGTCCAGAGCTAAAATTACTTTGACTCTAATTTAATGGAGATGTATTGTCATGGAGAAAGGTTTGGTTTCAAACTAAGACCTACAAACTACTTAATTTAAATGGTCTTTAAAAATTATTTAATTATTTTTTTTATAACATTCCTAAATTTATTTTAATGTTTACAAAAATATAAAATTATTGACCTATGAAAGAGTTATTCATGCCCCATGTGTTTGGGTAAAGTTGAGTTTTGAAAGTGACTTTAAAAAATTAACCAGTACTCTTCCTTTTATCTTACAGTTTAATAACAGTTAAATAATCCTATTAATGGACAGTTATTTTTGGACACAAGTGATGCCCAAGGTTTAGGGGATTCTAGCTTCCTTAAGAACAGCTATGCAAATATTATTCTATGTATATTTTCTTTTATGCTTATCTAAAGTTTTGAAATTATAATTTTGAAAGTACAATTTTAAAAAAAAATTAATTATTCTACTTCTGTTTACAAATTTCAAAAGTAATAAAAATATATCTATTTCAGTTTCCTTAAAATAAAGCATTTTGTTGTTTCAATAACTAAAAGTAACTAGCCAAAATAAAAATTCAATTTTGTGTCATATATATTGGATGTTATAGTAAAATATATAATCTTATTAACTGTATATAACTGTAATCATTGTGATATTTTTTTAAGGATGCTAACTATATGGCTATGATAGCCTCTGGACACCCAGCAGCAGCTGCCACTGCTGCAACAACATACTATCAACAACAACCTCAGCCTCAACCACATCCTCCAAGAAGGGTTAACCTCGCTATTCCAATTGTAGCACCACCACCAGCTAATGGCCAACAACAGCCTAATAGCTCTGATAATGGACCAACTTCATCTACAGGAACCTCTGCTACTGTAGCAACATCTTAAATTTCTTATCTTTTTTATTCATATTTATGGTTGTATGTAGTTAGAAATTAAGTTTCTATAAAATAAATACTTGATGTGTACTACGTTTATAGATTATAGTTTATTTACATTCATGATCAGTACATATTTTTAATTGCAATTTAATTAACAACTGCAGCCTTTAAAAAGCAAGTAATACCAACAATTATTCTATATTTTTATTATTTTTAATTTATGCCAATTTTATTATAATTATATATGTATTTGAAAATTGTATTTGTACTTGAAAGTTGTAGTTTTTGACAACAAGTTACAAAACAAATTTGATGAGTTATGAAATATATCTAGCAACACTGTTAACAATTATGCTACATGAGTTAATTACAAATTAAATTTGATAAATTACATTATGGTTTGGACAATATACTTTAAATAATAGTAAACAATTTTCATTGTATTATAAACCATTTATTTAAAAATGTACAAATTAAATAAGACAAACGTGTTTCTTAAAAATGGTTTCAATTAACCTGTTTGTAGTACTTAAGGCTTAAGTATTAAAATTTGCATGTATGAATATGTTTCCTTTAAATTTTATCATCTATCAAATTTAACTTTTAACAAAAAATAAAAGTATTTTTCTTTTAAATGTCGTGTTAAATTCATGAATGTTTATGATATACCCTAAAAAATGATATAATTAAAAAAAAAAACTGGTCAATAACAACTTTTAAATCTGTATTTTTGGAAATGTTGATATTTCAAAATGAATATAGAGGATGAGGCACTGATTATATATTTTTAGTATTAGTCATTCTGTGCTGAACTACTCTCGCCTATATATAAAAGTAATATTTTCTAAAATAATGGTTCAAAAATTATAACCGAATAGTCATTTTCTGAACTAAATCGTTTACAAAAGTAAAGCTAGATAAATTTGTTAATTTTCAAAAAAAAAAAAAACTAATTTTGACGTTGAATTAGAAAGTAAGGAGCAAGATTAAACAAAATTTTAAAAAGTGTATAAAAATCTAAAAATTAAAAAAAGAATAATCAATATTTTTGTATTCTTGAATATTTTGCTTGAGGCATGTTAATTAATCACTGTATGTTTTGCAAAAAAAACTATTTCATTAAAAATTCGTAAAAAAATGTATCTTTTTTTATTTGATTAAATTCAACTAATAAATTTTAGGAAAATTTTTATTTTACGTCTAGTAGTTTATTTTATTCTACTATTTTAGCTTTAATTTAACGGTCCTGTTGTAATATTGCCTAAGTAGATTCATATTTAATATACTATTTTTATCACTTAACTAACACTTTATACCCAACCGTCTTGGGATTGATTCACATATACCCTCAAAAATCAGTTGCATTATTTCTACAATCTGTCTTTTCAAAATAATAACTAATAAAATAATAATAATTGCCGAACTATACTAATCCTATGTATTGAAAATTATACAAAAAAAAAAAATAACACTAAATAATATTACATAGCAATTAGAATCACTAAATTTTGAGATTTAATTATTGTGGTTACAAAAATTTCATCATCTTACGTTGATTTAATAAGTTAAGTTCTCTTAAAACATAATTATAGCCTCCAGTTTAAAAATTGGTTCCCCCAAAATAGAAAAATCATGTTGTGTCTTATAATATTTCTAAGGAAAGAAGAGAAATATAATTAAGTCCTTCCTTACAAATCATTAAATTGACAACTCTAAACGTAAAGAAATAAAATGCAATGTTTGTTTTAAATCTATACGAAATTTTTAATCCTAAAATGTAATGAATAAGTTAATGGCTCATATCCAGGTTTATGTTTACAAGTGTTCATTTTTTGTAACACGAAACAGACTAATAGCGTTTTATTATTAGATTTATCTCAATTTATTAAATGTGAAAAAAATTCTATATTATTTAATTTATAACATTTCATTATCAAGTAATTATAATTTTTTCATGATATTAAAATTCTTAAGGTTCTGTTTTGTACAAATTTAATGTTTAAAATCATTTAAACTAATATTACACTTGCTACGCTATGCTACTTACTTTATGCATGGTCTAGAGATTTTGAATAGCTTTGGATTAAATGATTACCAAACTTCAGCATCTCATTTTTTTAAACTAAACCATCACCAAACCATTATTATTTTATCAAATAGTTTGAAAAAAAAAATTAGTATTAATTAATACTAATTCATTTGCGCAACTGGTGGTTTTTTATGATCATTTAAATTTGACGTATGACATTTAATGACTCAGTTATTCAACTAATTGTTAAGAAAAAATCATAAATATTTTGGAAATTACGATTATTTATTTAGTTTGGTCAAAACTTAAAACCAACTAAATCATAAAAACACTGTCTAATTCATTATCTAAATATACTATTATCATAAGTGTAAAAAACAAATGTAAAAAAAAAAAATAAAGCATTAAATTATTTTTCAAAAGTTATTTAAAAATAAAATAACATTTTTTTCAAATATTTGAACTTAACGTATATTTCTTTGATAATTGTGCATTAGTCGGTTATTTGTCAAAAAAATAATTGAAAAATAGACATTTTTGAATTGGACTCAAAATTTTCTATCTATTGGTAGAAACGATACAATTATAAAACAAACCCAAAAATAGTTTCAGTGGAATATTGAGCTTTTTTGTCTGAAAATTAGTCAAACTCAAATTATATAAAAACTGTTAAACTCGATGATTAAATCATAAATTTTGCACAAAATTTATTAAAATAATAAAGTATTGAGAATTTTTTCTTGCTTCTATTAGTTTTATATTGTTTTTGATAAATCAATTTTTAGTTATTTTTTTAATTTATCTGTTATATCATATATTTATACCACTTTACTTTTTTAAATGGCCACACACATATTTCACTAGCTTATAAAATAGAAAATAATCTAATTATGAGAATGACTGGTCGATAACAATTATTTATACTTTAGAAGTTATTCTCATTTTTATACCTAGGCAGGACGAAGAGTACGGTTGGGAAATAACTAGTAATAAAAATAACTGTACCCACCCTCACCTTCATTCAGTATTTTAAATTGTTAATAACTTCTGAAATACTAGTTCACAGGTTGTTATTGACCAGTCATTTTCTTAATTAGATTATTTTCTATTTTATAATGATTTAATTGTTTAATTATCTCTTAATTAGTAATTATTTACTAAGTAATATATAATACTAAATAATAAAAAAATTAAGTTTTCGTGTTTTAACCCTGAAGGAATTAAAAAAAATTTATTTCATATCATTGTAGAGTTTTTGAATAGAACAATTATTTCCTTTATAAAAATTAAAAATTTTCTAACCTATACAAAGTGATTTTTTTTTCAAGAAAAGCAAATAATGGATAATTAAAAATAATATTGATTTATTGTGTTTTTTAGTTTCATGTTTTTTTTCCATTTACTAATCATTAAGTATTTTTTATTTTCTTCCATTATTTGATGTTAATTTTAATTTTTCAAATGACAACATACATCAATAATTAGCTTATTTATTAGATAATGACATAATTAAAAAAATGACTATTGGATGTCAATATTATTCATTTTATATTTTAAACATGTGATAATAGTAAATTGGAATATTGTAAAATGTTGTTTTCAAAAATCATAAATGTCTGGCTCATCATTAAATTTTTTGAAAAAAAAAATAAAAAAATGAATGGTTTAGGAAAGTGATTAAATTTAGTCATTCTCATAGTTTGCTTGCCTTTAGACGTACTAGTTAATGAGAATTTGTCTGTTTTTCGGAGTTTTAGAGTATTAAATAACAAACCCCTATTTTTAATTTCATATCTAAAATTGAAAATAAATTACGATTAAACACAATCATATAAATAGGTTTTTATCCATTTTTCTGGTTTAACTTTTTGAAAATGACTAAATTTCTTCATCAAAATTTATTTTTGATACTACTTCGGATCAACTGATAAAAATGCTAAGCAGAACATTTTTCTTAACTTGTAGTTGTTTTAGTATGACTTTTAATTCGCTTTAATACTGAAAATGATTGTTCAGCGGATCAATTACTGGCAGGCATAGATAATTACATACGGAGAGCAATTTCTATGTATGGATAAATTACCACAAAATCATTTTTTTTAACCATAATATAACATCCAAAATGGATTTGTAATTTTATCACAATACTAATACTTTTTATGTGACCTTAATGTTGTACAAATTCAGTGACTAACACTGATAAGCTTTTACTAAAATCATAAAAATGGATTTCTTCGACAGAATGATTATTTATAATGTGAAGAATATTTATGCCAATAAATCATATGAATTTTTTTGTTTTTGCAATTCTTATATAATTTTATCTAAAATAACGAAAAATGTCTCTATTATGAAATTTTTACGACCACTTAAAATTATTTCATTAGACGGATTTTCATAATGCCACAATTTTCGTTATTTCTCGATTCTAAGATCTTCATAATCATTTAGTTCACTTAATAATTTGGCAGCATCTTCATAAGTGGTAAAGGAATCCCTATTTCTAATTGATTTTACGAAATATATTAAAGATACATACAAATAAACAACAGTGATTAGATGTATATTCACAGAGTATAATTGTTTACTTGTTTTATTTAAAACAGTCTTTAAATATTTATAACTGTAATAAAAAAAAATTTCCGTACGGTGTGTAATATATCTTATTAGTTTAATTTACACTCTTTCATCGTTGTTATACTTATACTTATAAACTGGACCAATTTTATTATCATAATTAGTAGAATGGCGATCGCTGTACATATTTTTTCGGTTATGAGTAAAACATAACAACTGCAATATTTAGGCAACAATTTTTTTATGTAATACCAGGATATTATGGTGTTTCGTAAAAAATTGCCGCCTCCTAAAATGAGCCATAAATTTGCCACTGTGGCAAAGGGTAACACTTGTCCTCCCCTCCAATGCGAGCCTGTGTTAAGTTACTAACTAAGATGACCAAAATAATACGAAAATTACGTTTTAAGGTCACAAACGTTGAATCTCAGTAGTTTTTCAACTCTTGCGTGAGAACATTATAGTATTGCGTGATTTCGACTACAGAATGTGTTAAACGACTACAGCAGCTGGCTAAATTCCGCGGGTCGTCAGCATCCCCGTAAAGGTCGTCCATATTAGGAAAACCGGATCTTCTCCTTTGGTCCATCGGATGTCCGGTTATTCTGGAACACCTTAAATCGTTCTTACCATGAGATTCTCATAAGGGTTATCTGCATAAACCCTTCTGTTAATACCGTGACCGTCCTGAAGCTGCATAATATTAACTTGTGTTGTGGGAATAAAAATTCAAAGTTTAGATTTTTATTGTTTTTATGCACTTCCCGTTCGAGCAACCTGCAGCCGAAATATATCTCTGCAGCAACCTGCTGCAACACCTCACAGCATACACAATTATCTAACAATAAGCACTTTTCGTATACCACTCTCTCATATAGCCACCCCCACGTCAGCAGAAAAATAGAGCCCTTTTCCCTCCTACACACCCTACTAACGCGTGGCAAAATAATTTTATGCAACAAGTAGCTCTGTAGACCGAAAACAAAACGTATAGAATTAAAAAATTATTTTTTATTTTCTCACGGTCTTGCAAAAAATATACTTGAAATCATAAAAAAATATGTTTACTCTTGTTCTTAAAACTGTAACAGTTTTTCTGTTAAAGTCCGTTAGCTAGATAAGTCTTATACATTGTATATATATAAAATATATTATTCTCTCCCCCACACACGTACGCTATCGTTATATATTTTTCGAGTTGTATACCTTTTGATAGTTAACAAAACTGTGTTTCATAACACTTATGTATGAATCATTCATAGGCGTTTTTGCTGTCGTCGGTGGCGGCGGCGGTCAAAAGGGATAAAACCAGTTACACTATTGAGAATATATCTTTGCCTTTGGGACGTTGGTCCATGTGTAGAACCGACGGACGTTGAATCTCGCTGTTGAAAGGGGGGTCGAGGGGGAGGAATAACCTGATATCGGGCAATAAAAAATAAAACCGGATCTCGGTCGATCAGCATCCCTTCGCGTTACACTCTATTATTCGACGACTGAACGATAGATACAGGGGGAATCGATCCATGATCAAAAAAACGGGATTCTGGACTAAAGAGAAGACAATAACGGGATTCGATTAAGTAATCTACAATCGCGGCCGCGGTCCACCATCGCGAAGGTCATGTGAACGCGACGCTTAAAGGGTTCTCACCGTGGTCGTCATCTCACAGTCCGGCAAATGGACCATATACAATAATATTTTATTGAACTATTTCACCACAGCCTTTGAACATACTTGATTATTATTCATAAAAACAACGTTGAGCAACCACCTCCATAATTTATCGCGCTGTCCTTACAATACCTTTGTTAACATTATTAACCCGTGTTTCAATTAAATTGAACATTTAAAGTTTAAGATTAAAAACTTAATTTTAGTCTTGTTTTAATATGCTTAGGTTTTTAGACCTACGTGTACCACAAAAACCCAATTTTTATTATAATTCAACAAAATTAATATGTCTTAAAGACCAACTTAAAAATTATCACAATATTACTTATATATAAAATAATATTTTGGTATATGATATATAAGTTAAGTCAGGGGCGTCATTTCATTTTTTTTTTTTGGGTGTGCAACATTTCAAGTAGGCCATTTTGAAATTAAATCAGGCTATATAAAAATAGATATACCTACTTAAGTAAACAAAAAAAATCCAACCCAGCACAGTGGGGTCGTGGCATAGTTGGGACAAGTATAGATGATATCTGATAGTGATTTGAAAACACTATCATAAGAAACGTTTCGATGCAAATCTGTAGATAGTATTTAATTCTAAGAAATTGATGGATTATTTTAAAAGCAAAATAAACTCCTATTTTTTGTTCTACATTGACTGCTATTTCCACATAAAAAATAAGTAGTCGTTCCAAATTTTTGTTNCAAAAGCAAAATAAACTCCTATTTTTTGTTCTACATTGACTGCCATTTGCACATAAAAAATAAGTAGTCGTTCCAAATTTTTGTTTTTGAACTTCTATTACATAAATCAAGCTTTATTTTAACATATATTTAAAAAACGCAGTATTCCCGGAACATTTTCAAAAATTAAGTTAAAAAATATCTACTTTTTAAATAAATTTTCAAGTTTTCAAAAATTCAAAGTCACTTTTGTTAACTTTGAGGAGATTAAATAATCAAAATAAGTTTATATTTATATTTAATGTGGAATGAGGGACTAGTAGATTTAATTAGCGAGAAAGAGGTATGGGAGGCTGTGGCATCAATGAAAAAGACTAAAGCAGTAGGACCAGATGAATTGCCAGTAGATGTATAGAAAATAATAGCCGTTGTTGACATAAGGTGGTTGAAGGATCTTTTTAATAAAATCTTATTAGAAGGAAAAATTCCAAATTATTGGAGGAATAGTATTGTGGTGCTGATATTTAAAGGTAAAGGAGACATACAGGATTGTGGAAATTGAATGTGATATTAGGACGGCTGATGTGAGTATAGATGATAAGGAAGATCGTGTCAAGTGGAAATGTAATATAAGAGTGGCCGACCCCAAGTAGTTGGAATTAAGGTGAGGAAGAAGAAGAAGAATATTTATATTAAATGTTAGTTGGATTTATGCTACTTTTATAAAAATTGTTGAACTCATTACTATGACAAACCCTTACAAAGTAATTTAAAATAAACAAAAAAAATAAAATTTGAACACAAAAAAAATAGCATATATTTTAACTACGGCAGCCATTTGCATAAAGAAGACAGGTCATCGGAACAATTTTTTTTTTTAATTTTTAGTACGTAACATATGTTTAATTTGATATGTGTTTTAACGATGCAGTATTTTCGGAACATTTTTAAAACTTAAGTTGAAAAGTTGAGTTTTGTAAAAAAGTTGTTATTTTGAATCCCCCCTTTGTGGGACGGTAAAGGGTTAGATTATCATAAAATTAATATTAAATGAAAAGGAAATACGTAAGATGTTTATATAAAAAAAAATATTTTGGTTTGTTCATCTTTCAATAAGTTATTACAATTTTTAGAAAAAAAGTGAAAAAATGTCGAAATTTACCGATTTTAATAATTGTAATTTTTTAAGAGATTTTCACCATTTACAGGGAACTAAAGAAAATGTTTCAATTTTTGAGGGTAATGTCTTAAATTAAATTTGATTTGAATCTTTTGACGTATCGTTGAGAAAAATCGGTCCAGTGAGAGCTGAGAAATAGTAATGACAGACACAAAAAAATATAAAAAATAAACACATTATGGTAAAATTAATACCTTCTCGGATTCGCATCGAAGATGAAACTATTACGAACATCAATATCAATATCAACATCTTGCGTCCGGTACGAATATCAATAGTTCAGTATGATATATTTATTGTTTACTCAATTAATTGTTACCAAAATATTTGTTTATTGAACTATGATAATACAATATTTTTGAAATTTGAATTAATGTATAAAAAGTTGGTGCATTATTAATGCAGGCCAATTAAAACAGTTTTTAAAGTAAGGGGTGCGGTTGCACACCCTGCCCCTCTCTAAATGACGTTCCTGAGTTGAGTTATAATAATAATAAATATTAACATATTAATAACTGTTTAATTAATTAAAATTTTATTCATATATCAATGTTAATCATTCATAAATATAGATAATGCTATGTCATGTCAATTTTACTGGATATAAATTTCAACTTACCCCGTTAACACAAAATCAATACAACGTTTATTTTTAACGTTTTCTTAAGTAGACTAAATTTGATAAATAATTGTGACAATATTAACTTTTCATATTGACGCCTATGTTATCTGTAAAGTTTCATCACTCTATTTCAAATAAATAGTAATATGATAATGATGATTACATTCGTTTTAGTGTAGTAAACAAGTTGATGTAATATTAGTAGTACACTTTAACACGTCATCATGATAAAAAATGATAAAAAAATGTGTTTTAGAGCTTTGGAAAATTGAACATTTTATTATATTATTTATATAAAATGGTATTATTTAAAATAAATGTTTTTTAAAAATGAAAAATTACTTATATTTTTTATTGTTTTATTATTTTAAATTAGAGTTAATTTAAAGCAGCCTCAAACCAAATCCAACTTTAATATCATTTATTTTTCATTAAAATAATTTTCTACATTTTTTGTTTTTGTAAAAAGTTATTTAAGATTATTGTAACACAAGCCCATAAAATATTACCTATGGTCGGTACGAGAAACCGTCGCAGTAATATCCATATAACTCCTTCTGGTTGGACAAATGGTCGGAGTTAGTAGGGTAAGCGGAACAGACGAACGGATGGTTGGCGAACCGGTTTGGTCCACCTTGCAGACAACAATGGAGGAGTATACGGCCATAGTAGAGATTTTATTCGTCGTCGACTGCAGGTAGAGGGGTTGAGGGTAATTCTTTTATTGCATAAGTACCCTTGATATTAGGGGGTGTCTAGAAAACCTTCTTGATCTGGGACACGCAAAAGAATTTTTTATCTTCTGCTCACTCTTGATCTTGAACCTGATCCGCTAACATTTCAATGGTTAACAAGCAAATATTTTACTTGAGTGTTATGATTCAGTTCATTTATTAATATAATTTATATTAAATTTTGAATATATTATTTTATGAATTTTATTATCATTACGTTTTAATAAATTTTGTGTTATTTTGTTTTAGATCGATTCGTATTTGGGAATTTATACCCACTGCATTCATTTTTTTAAACAGATATTCTCACAGCTTTTCACATACACACTATTATTGTCTAAGTTAGCACGCTGACGTATTCCGCAAGATAACTTTAAAATTATTATATTATCACACATTTGTGCATCATCACTGTTTGTTTATGATCTGCAGAAATCACAGATATTCATTATTTTTAATTAATTAGATTTAGATTTGTACATTATTTAGATGCATTATACTTTTAAGGGAAAAAACATTATCTCCAATTTTATTATTATTTTTTAATACTTTTTTTACTGTGTAGTTTTCATAAATAATGAATCGACATCAGGATGATATGGATGACGAATCTACAGAGTACAAAAGACATCGAGAGTGGTACATGCAATGGGTTCGAGAAGCCTACACTGCTCCAGGATGTAGGGCTAAAACTGTGTGTGCGGCCAAGTACGAGAAGATTGTTAGAGCGGTACGAGGTCAACTTCGAAGGGCGGCGGATTCATCAAAATTTCGATTTTGGGTCAGGTCTAAAGGATTTCGAATGGGGAGACCAGCAATACTGGATCAAGAATGCAGTAGTCAAGGATCACAAGTTATGGTCGATACAGATCGATTATACGTAGTGGACTCGAGGAATAGCAGCAATGTCAACAGAAATTCTAATAATAAAAAATCTAAGAAAAACAATAAAAACATTGTAAGTGTTCTTTTTAATAATATCCAAGTAAATTAACTGAAACTTGCTATCGCTGATACATACTTTCAAATTTTTAATTAACATAAAATTGAAATTAATATTTCGTTTTTGATTACATAAATCACTGACTACATTAATTTAAATTTATTTTTCTATTTTTGCGTATCTATTTATAGGCGACATAAATACAAAGAGTATGACTATTATTACTATATGTATCCTGGACAATTTAAATTTAAAATAATTGGAATTTATATATTATAATCCCCAAACGATAAGATTACTTCTGGATGATATTTTTCATTAAAAGTATGCTATATTTCGTTTCTTACATATATTTTACATATATTAATACTTACGATGAGAATACTCGACTGTTTAAATAAAATAAAAATTTCTTTTGCTAATCAATAAAAAAGTTTTGGAGATGGCACACTCCAACCTGACTAGGGCGATACAATAAATAAGGTCTTAGTCGAGGGATACCCCTATTGAATTAGGTACATTTATAAAATGTACAATTATAAATATAATAGCCGAAATTTTTAAAAAGTTTTTATTGCTAATCAAAGTAGTCAGCGTGTCCGTAATCAGTCGTCGTCATATTGATATACTCTACTTTTTCACCAGTAAGTGGCTCTATCTGTTAGTATTGAACTTATTTAATGGACCCTTCAACTGCTAACAATAATTGTAGTTAAGCTGTGCTATTCATAGCTAGCTTTTTGATGGGTGGCCACTAGAGTATTTTAGTAATGGCAATACCGTATTTCTTTAAACGGGTAAACCAATACTTCATAATTGGACCACAAGCCAGTACCATAGTATTCATTGTTTGTACCAATTGACCTGTTTCCTTACTTTTTTAACAATCTGTATAATAATTGTTTAACTAAAAATAAATATATGCTTTAATCTCGTTTTATTTTGTTACAATAGTTAAAAAATTATAAATTTTACATGCTTTCATCTACCTAATATTTTTGACTATTACGGTACTAAAAACACAAGATAAGCAAAATTGCACTTAAATTTCCAAACATGTAAAATTATGTGTTATATAATTTTGTATTTAGCTTATTGGTTCTCTAATACAAATTTATAACTTACTATACCCTAGAACCTTTTTAATTTATATATATAAATGCTAGAAGTGTTGACCCTAGGTAATGTTGGAGTCTGTTATGGTATCCGTTTGTCAAAAAAATATTAAACAAATCGTATTTAAGAAAAAAATTACTTATTAAGTTTGCGAGTTTTAATTATTTTCTATCACTTATATCATAACTATATATTGAATAAAGAATATATATATATATATTTCAAAATAACAATAAGGAAATACAATTGATTAATAAAGATATACCTTTCAAAACCTCAAATACCGAGATAAATTTAAATAAAAATAAAATTTCGGTATTAGTTAAAATTATGGTTAAAAAAATATTTTTTTAGTTACCTATAAGTTTCGAATTTGAAATTTCAAAAGGGATCGGTTTCAAAACTAGTTTTTTAGGTTTCGGTTCCTAGCACTGGATAAAGAACTACCCCTTACGACCCCACAAAAAAAATACGTCTACGTATTATTAACAAAACTTTGGTTAGTTGTATTTAAAATAGCCTTTAAATTAAATATTAAATTTATGTAAATAATTTAGTAGTATTTTATATAACCTGTTGCATTTGAACAATAAGCATAATTTATGTATTATAGTGTACATGTTATCGCAATACAAATTAGAGAAACCACCTAGTAGAACTACTTAAGTATGAAAACATTTTTTTTTTTTTGATATAAAATATTAACTTTTTTCATAGTAAAATTTTTCAACAAAATTAAAGTGATAATTTATCGGTATTTTTAGAATATATTGAAATTTTTTTCTATTTATTTAGTTAATTTAGTCTGAAAATCTGTAATAGTTGTCAAAATTAACTTTGATTCTGTCCAATTATTATTTCTAAGATCAACCCTGAATATCATTGACTGATTGAATATCTATCAATTTATGTTATATGTTATGTTTTAGCTCGTAGTTATTAAATTTTACTATAAATAATAAATATTATGATAATTCATTAGAGAATTATAAATGTCAGTAGAAATTTTAATAGAATATAATCTAGACATGACGAAATTAATTTAAGTATGATATCAGTGATTAGAATCGAAAATATTTCTATTCCTTGGAAATTTTTATTGTATCTAATAAATTAGTTGACCTATATAGCAAATTAAAAAAAAAAATTATTATAGAAACCTAAAATATAACAATATTGATTTTGAAACTTCAATTGAACATAGGAGTTACCTTTATAAAGTTTAAGAATCAAAAAAAATTTAATAGATCTTCTATAGGTTTCTATAAGTATTATTTTTTTAAAAAAATACACCTTTGATTTAGATTATGCACATTTGACCCCTTCTGATACGTTTACATTGTCACAAAATGCTTATTTTGGACTTATTTTTTTAAGAATATACACGACGACATAGAACTAGAGTTAGACGATCAACGTACAGATTTATATTCCGATGAAGACGACGATGAGGTGGTAGACACAGCAAGACCAACAACTATTATTTATAAAAAAGTAGCAGTAGTAGAAGAATTTTATGATATAATATACAAGGTTCACGTTAATAACAATGATGATGATCAACGACGACATTCTGGCCAAAAACGAACACATAGAGCTGTAAGTTTACTTTTATCTAATCTTTAAAAATGTGTTTATAATATAAAAAAAAATTATATTACTTTTATTTAAAATTCTCGTCATCCACACCTTTTATTAATTTAAAAAAAGGTTTTTCAAACTCAAATAATTCGCTCAAATTACTCATGTCTCGTCAAATCATTGTTTGTTTAACTTGCATAACTTAACGACGTGTTTGGACACAACAATAACTAAAACAATTGTAGTATAATCTAAACAAATTATAAATTTGAAAACTGAATAAAAATTAACATTAAATATAAAATTTATTGGGATTAAACAGATAAGTTATAAATAAATAAATATTATTATTTTTTACTTTAATACATAACTGAGAAAATTATTGATTTTACTCTGCCACGATTATTTTTCTTTTTATGGCACTATACACAATTACTCCACTTCTACTGGTCGATTTGTTTGAACGAGACGTTAAAGATCACAAAACGTCATTATTTGGAGCTTTCTAGGCGGGAGAAAGAGGAGACCGAGAAATGTCTAAGTGATAAAAAAGTAGCATCGACGTCTCATCTCTAGCCTTTACTCTAAATTGTTAATAACTTCTAAAAAATTGATCTAAGAGTTGTTATTTTGTTTTTTTTTGAGTCAGTAATACGTCAAAAGAACACAAAACGTATCTATATGAAACTATCAGCGCCATAATTTTTAAATGTTTTCTTCAATTCTTTTAATAAAGGAAATATCTCATAAAATTAAAATTGTCATAAAACAGTCAATATTGATATTTTTAGTTTTTACTTTTTGTAAACTTGAAGCATTTGTCTTGTCGGCGACAAACTTTTTTTAAAAATCCAATCAAGGTACTATTAGGGCTTAGATATTATATTAAATATTTTTTCTTTTCTATTTTTGATAATATTTCAAAGGCGTGATTTCTTTAAACCTACACCAAATTAAATCTAACACATTTTACTTTAAAATAATAAATAATAAACTATCTGAAATCATAATTTCCAAATGTCATTGGACATTAATTAAAACCAAAAATTATACAATTTCTGAATAACTAATTTTTTAGTTTTTTAATAGTAATGGAATATCTATTATCAATGGAATATCATTCTAAATTATTTAAAACTAATGCTTGTTTAATGTAATATATAATAAAAAAAAACATTCCGATAACTTGTGTTTGTGAGAAATCTACTTCCTAATTCAAATATCTAATAACATTTGGTAAATATAATAATTTTTTTTCAATTTGTTACGTATTGTAACATTTTACAATAGAGGTCCTAATCACTGTCAAATATCAGTCAATACTAATTTATAAAATGTTTTAATTCCACTACACTGGATCCTTATTATACTTAATCTTTTTAACTTAAATGTCTAATTAAACAATTTAATCTATTAGAGAATCAATTATTTTAATTAAGTTTAACAAACACAAAAGCGTTAATATTTTATTTTAAACTAATCAACCAATTTACATTTAAATTTTTTCTTTTTTCCTCGGAAATCGTTAAATTTATTAGAATTTTAAATTTATTTTTGTGTTCTAATAGATAATGGAAACTTACGCGTTTCTTCCCAGAGAAGCAGTTACAAAGTTTCTCATGGGATGTCGAAAATGTAGTAGTGGTTCACAACCATCGCCTCGTCCTCCATGGACCAGTTTACAAGAACAACAACAATTTGAATCACATAAAACGATCGTACCACAACAAAACTTACCTGAATGGGTGTACAATGCTGATCGTGTTTTGACTTTTACTTGTTCTACTCCCGTAAAAAGCAGTAGCTTCGATAGTGGTATGGATGTAGACAAGGAAAACATGAATGACAATAACTGCCAATACGACATAGTAAAAACCCTTACTTCTACTATAACTGAAACTAGTTTAACTAATACTTTAACAACTTCACTTACTACTAACGTAACCTCTATTAAACATAAGCGTAAAAGTACCACCCCTATTAAGAGAATTAATTCTAGCAAAAGTGGAGAAAGTACGTTAAAAGACAGCGGAAGTAGTACGTTTCAATTATCTACAACAGACAACAGTGGAAGCGTAGGGGAGAAATTGAGTGGGTTGACTGACGTGAGTAGCATTAGTGTTAATTTGCAACCGTTAGATTTATCACACAATCACAATTCCCAATCTTCATTATCACCGTATTCTGTAGTCAAAGATGTGGACAATGATGGGGTAGACCAGGATTGGAAGGTAAATTTTTTTCGTCCCAGACGTAAAAGAATACTGAAAAGACGAAAAAGGAGGTATGTTCTAAAATGTGATAAGAAATCTAATGGAGTATCGAGTAGTGATGATGATAATAGATGTAATATTGATAGCGAATATGAACCAATGAAAAAAAGAGTAAAAGTTGAACTAAACTCGATTAAAAAACAAAATAACTTACATACTTGCAATAACAATTATTACGAACACATAAAATGGTATAATTATAGTGATGCAGTTATGAACAGATGGACTAAAAAAGAAGATACAGACGAGGCACCTACCGACAAACGCAATTGGGAAATGGTAAGTTTTTAGAATTCAATACCACTAATTTTCGTTAGTTAAAATATAATCAACACATTTTCTGTGACTAAAACTTCTGAAATAAATTACTGATTTTTAGTTCACTATAAAATAAATGGTTTTTGAGTTTTTTAGTTTATAATAATGGATATTTATTTAATAGGTCTTGTCTATGTAGATTTTTTTATAAAACTTATTCATTATAAAGACCTTCCGCGTTAATATACAAAATGAAACGGAATTGCTCACAAAACCCTAAGCAGTGTGAAAAGGCAAGCGTTAGACGGACCGAGTTGAGAAATTAGGGGAAGCAAAACTTTTATCTCCTACCATCTGAACCTAGATGCTTTTACACGCTTTTCCTCGATAGAATTCTGTCACCGCCACATCGCCCCAGATTTCTACCCTGCGACCCTCTTTGTCATCATGTTCCTTCCACAGCCGTAAAACAGGCCGGCGGGTGTGGAAGTAGAGGTGGTGGTAGTAACAGAACTCTTCCACTTCTCCGTTCTATCTATACTACGTATACAAACGGTCCGCTCTGTTTGTTCAACCCTCGTGCTTTTTCCCCTCCCTCCTCTCCTATCCAACTAACCCGAATTTCAACTAAAATTATTCAACGGTGGCAAGGCCGAAATGCTGTTTTCGGTCCGGCTGTCCCGCGCGTACTTCATCTTTGTCATCGTACGTCCACCACATAATCCTTTCCACCTACCCGCCTTCCTTTGCGTGTTTTTCCGACTACCTCCCTGTAGCCCGTCCAAATAATACCCATCCCACCATTACTCTCTATAATGCCCCTAGGATACATTGTTTGCGTGTGAACAGGAATATCCGAATGTAATACGATACAGTATTGAACGAGATTCGTATAGGTAGAGAGCAGTAAAAAAAAAGTAGACGCGAAAACGGCAAAAACGCCGGTAGAAAAATATCGATTGCCACTGGCTAACGCACTTATTTATTTAAATAAACGCGTGTAGTGCACAACAGGTGGCATCATCCGACCGTTACCCCATTATGTTTATTGTACCATTAATACGCATATTTTACTACGTTTACTTTTGCACACAAATATTGCTTAGTTAAATAAAATAATTACTTCACTTAAAGCCTATGTTTCGATTTATTTTATTAATGAAATACGTTCAGTCTGGAGAGGTAAGCAGGAATGTGTGTGTTTACTAAATATTTTCAATGAAGTTTATTTGCGAGTAAATGGTTATGTTAATGATACGAGAAAAGTTTTTTTTTTTTGATAATAATATTTTTTGATATTTAAAAGTTTCCATAAATAATAAATATTATTCGCTTTGATGACATTTCTTAATAAAAAAAATTCTGCTGCATTAGACATCGTGTGTTATGAAATACATTTTGCATAATGTACTACTGTAGCGAGATTGAAGTAATTTTGGTTTCTTCGAAATTCTTTATCTTCTCTTTAGTTCACAGAGGTACAAGAGAAGAGGGTAGGGTAAAGTCCAAAGAGATAAGGCGCATTCGTGTATTATATATATGTTATTAAACCCAGGATATCCGACCGTCCGGTATAGCAGAAACGTTGGCGGGCGGGGACAGTGATGGACGGGCTTTGTCTCGCGTATAGTGAGTGGGCCAAAGGGCTTTTACGGTAGACGGTGCGGGAATGTACATACCCGAAATAATTTGAGGCAGAGATGTGGCCGGTATTCCGACGTGGACAGATGCGAGAGACAGTAACTCTCGGTGCCACAAGCTCTAAACCAAAGGGCGTCGAAGTTTGAGGGGGGGGTTTATGCGCGTGTAAAAAAAAAAATGATAGTAATAATAAAAATAAAAACTAATTCAGAAAATACGGAAGCCCGTTCTGTAAAAGATGCCAACAAGATTTGGTGTGGGTTGAGTGTAGGGAGGGCCGGAGCAGCGTACGAGTGCAAATATATATATATGTGTGTACAAACCCTCGTCTCTTGGGCTACCCACCACGACCTTCCGCTGCTTGCACGGTGGTACACTTTGTCCCTCTACCCCTTCGGTCGAAACCTTCTCCTGCTTAGCCCGAAACTACTCTACGGCCGAAACAATCTACCACCACCCACCACTGCTTGTCATCTACTCAGTTGTCCCTACCGCACATTCACCACTATCGTCGCTGTACACGTTTCGACTACAGCGTCGACTTATTCCTATATATAATATACCGTACTACTACCCGCTCACACAACTTCCCAATAACACTGCTACCGACGCCGACAGCCGTCACCGCCACGTCACACACTCCAAGACAACGGACAAACGTAGCATGAGAGGGGTAGTGGACGATACGCGGGTGTTCCTTTTCACTCAAACTATCCTTCAAACCCCTCGTGAGCTACCCTAGCTTAATATACGGTTACCACCGGACCTATTGTCCATCCTGGAACGTACTCGTCCAACTGAAATAACGATAGTCAATCTCATTTAAAATGCAATCCATTCAGACTAGGTCTATATAATTACTATCGACAGCCAAATAATGAATATTTGCTTTACATGAATACATATTATTATATATATATATATATATATATATATATAAAAGTAAAAACAATTGGACAGGAATAATATATTAAAACAAATTATAATAATTGCTGATAAATATTAAGTGATTTGAAATATTGATTTAATTTTATTACATTTTTAATAAATAATACCTAGCCAAAAGTAAAGAACAATAAGAGCGAAATAAAGAGACAAGTTCTTCAGAATAATATTTTTATAGAAAAATAATAAAACAAAAAGATCAACCCAAAGTATTATATGTATTAAGAAAATTACGAAACTTAAATATCTCTATTATTTTGGTAATCGAGACGTACTGAAGGTTCAATAAGAAAGAAAATGTTAATGACTTGTAGGTCAATTGTTATGGATAATAGGAACAATACCCTTTTTATAATTTATTGAACATCTTGTATAATTTTCGGAATTGCTTAGGTTAGTAATATTTTAGATTAAAATAATAACAAGCCTGAGATAAATGTTTAGCGATAGGTATAAGAAAAATAGTGAAAATACTATGTTTACTAAAATTATGGAATAATAGATCCAAACACATTATTAGTAAATTTAGTAAAATATAAATTATCTCAATGACCTAAAACAACAGAAAAAAAAATGTGGAATAATACATGTAAAAAATATAATTTAATATTATCTTATAAATTATAATAAAAACAAAATTATTTATTTTTAATACATGGTCTTGTTTTTATTAAAATACTTTTAAATAAATTATCCAAGTATAAATTAACTCTCTTAATTTAACTAAATACACCAACTCTGTAAAGGGTACAAACCGAATAGCTAATTTTATAAAAAATATTTAATATTTTCAACAGGAAAATAACTTATTCGAAACAAGGACCACAACAGAGCTTTTTTTTAATATATTCAAGTAAATTTTTTTCTGAGTAATTTATTTAATGTATATCCTACAAAAACCCAATTTTTTTTACTCGTATTTTATTTAACCACAAGTAAAACAGTGAATCCTTAACTTTTCTTTTTGTCAATTTCACCAGTAATTTTATTACACACAATAGCATTAAAATTATCTTATACATATATGAATGTTACTCACTTATATTAATGTTATTAAAAAAAAAAAAAGAGATAAGTTATATATTCTATGCCTATTATCTACCTGTATACTTTAACTTTTATAAAGAAAGCACAATTGCAGTTTTTTTCTTTTTGCAAATGAGTCATTATTTTTTGTGTTTAATGATTACACCAACTCACTATGATCATTATAGTATGAAACGTTTTAAGATTAATTTTTTTTTCTTTCAATTCTTTTAACCGTTCGGACTTTCGAGAGTTTTCAAAGAGGGAAAAATGTGAAAACCAAGTTTTACGATGTCTTACGTCGGGGGTGGGAAAAAGAGCGATTTGGTGGGGGGGGGGAAGGGAATTTTTCTTGTTTTCACTGGGGCGGTATGAAGGGAAAGGATCCGAGGGCTGACAGGGGTACTCTGGCAGGCCCTCTACGCACGCACTCCACATTTCCTGACTATATCGCACACACACTCACACGTACATAAGAACGTTCACCCCACCCTACCTCATCTTCCTCGTCACTTTCTACACTACCCGCAGCCGTATATGTGTGTTTTTTTCCTGTCCCCTTAGCTGCCTGTGTACCCTTCTTTTACACCCCTATACGACTATACCTATTTATATATATGTATAGATTGACATACACACACACGCGTGCATACACACATACATACACTGAGAGATAGAGAGAGAAAATGTGTGTGCTTAGTATACGTATATAAACCCCGCTGTCGTCCCAAAACCGTCGTCGTATTCACCTCTTCCACTCCACCGCCTTAACCATCGCTCAGGGCTCTTATATCCTTTATACGCCTACTGCTGCTGCAACGGAACTACTACTCTACCACCTCTACTACTATTACTGTACTACCGCTGCCGTCCAAAAAGCTTGCAAACCCTCTACGACCTCGCCCTCACTCGCCGCGGGGTTTCGTCGCCGCCGCCCATCACTCTGCCGCATTACACTAACTCCGACCGCTTCTGCCACCGCCGAGCACTGTGCTGTCAATCTCTTTCACCTCCTTTTCCTTCTAGACTTCAGCCACACAAAGAGAAAGAGAACGGTTTCCGTGCACTCCGTCGTTATATTCCCTCTCTGCACTTTACTTCTTCACCGCCGCTGCACTCGTTTTATACCCCAACTTTTCTCCGTCCTTCCACACCTATCACTCTACAACCACTCTCTCTCTTTCTCCGGCCTTGGGCTATTTTTTGCCTTCTGTCTCCCACTTCATTCTCCACCATCGTTTGTCACTCTCTAGCTCTATCACCAACACTACCACTATCCTTCGAATGTTCTTAGACGTACTTACCCCCTCCCGATACACCCGTCTATTTATTTTCACCGTCCTTCTAACACGCCATACTATATAATAATGTCAGTAGTGCCGGTGTCACCGAGACCACCCCGCGGAAATGATTGCACCCTCACCTCTCTCATAAGGATTGGACTCAAGACGTAACTTCACACACACACACACATATTCTCTATTCCCCTAAATGTATGAAAACGTACTATATATATATATATATATATATATATAGGAAGAAGAGCGTTGCGCCGCTGTCGCTTTTACCGCACCGCCAGTGGTGTGGTGTGCGCTCAACGGCGCTTGGACGGTCAGTCTTCATTCTCTGTTCGGCTATAGTAGTAGGCATTAACTTCCTTCAATTGTCAGTTATCACGAGAATGTTATAGCAACTTATCAATTTGATAACTTGATAATTGTTGTTAAGTAACATATATTTTTTTCAAACTTTTTTATTAAAAATAAAAAGTAAAATTTTGCGATAAAAATGATAAATCAATAAATAAATATAGTAGAAATAATTTCGTCACATAAATCAATAGTTAAATCAATCGCTAGGTATTATTAGCTGCTATCAACCTCAGTTTTTTGTCGGTAGCACTCAAATGTCAGCAAAACGAAAACAAGGACTTAAGGTATAATTTTTTTTTTTTGATTTTTAGTGTGTGAAAAAATTAATGAGTTTTAGATTTTTAAGAAAAATAAATGCGTTTAAGATGAGCTAAACATTAAACATTAATTTACAGATTATAGTGTGTCAACATTTTGTTTTACGTAAATTCTGGCTTTTAAATTATATTATTTATAAATCAGAATACGTAAAAAATAAAATAAATATATATATATACAAAGATGGGCATATATTTAAAAATGATATACTAATTATGTTTTATTGGTTATTGTAATATATTTAACATTTTTTTGTGTGTAAACAATACGCACATGAAAATAATATATTATGTAATTGGAATTTGTGGAAATGATAAAATTTAAAGAGAACCGTGTAATGTTTATTACTTCTTATAATGTTTAAGCGGACGAACGAATAGATTTAAAAAACGGCGGGCTTTGGTTTCCTTGTTTCTACTCTCCATCTACCATCGCCTCTTTATTTGTAACGTATCACGACGGGTATTATTTAAATTTCTACTGAACGTGGTTGTATGCATACAATGTGATCTACAGAGTGCGCCCGCAGTGCTACTACTTAACGCATTACCAATTTTGGCGGCAATTTAGAAAACCTAAAATTTTTTCAGTCATTACATTTCTACTTATTTTTCTGAAATTGTTAACAAACTAAGGTACTTTTCTCTTCATTTTACATTACATTACAAACTGACCTCCTTGGTGAATATATTTTAATTTTAGTTTTTAGCATTTTTATTACTTAATTTTTTTTCACAGAACTATATTTCCAAGCTTTATGTTGAATACGACCACAATGAGCCTTGTGACATGACGGGCTGACGTGGTAAAGCTATATGTGTGTGTATGTCTGTAACGTTGGTAAAGGGATATTGGCTAAGGGTAGTGGTGTCGTAGTGGCAAACGAGGTGGTGTCTATAGGGAGGAAACTGGGTAGTAGTGGCCGTAACGCTACAATAGTAGAGGCGGCAGGGAGGCTACACAGACAGTTTTTGACCACCGCCACCGCTATCGCCACCGCCGCCTCCGATTTATTTTCACTCTGCCTCTACTGACACCGCCACCGTAAGGCTCTTTCTACCCTTCTCTTACTCACAACCTTCCCCTCCCGTGCGCCCATCGCACCGCATTCGGTTACCCTTTTTGGACCATTCTCGTCGCCACACGCACACACTAATACCACCCGGACCCGAGCCCAAAACCTTTTCTCCTTTCCCACTCTCCTCGCACTCTGGCCTACAGCTGTCTGTCTCCTTACGGGTATACGTTTGGGTGTGCGTGTTTCTCTATGTGTGTACACGCACCAAAGCCGTCCCCTTGCACCCCACTTACAAATCCTTTTTCTCTTCCTCTCCTTTACACGCGCGCAATGCCTTCACACCCCGCCATGTGGCTCTAAACCTACACATATAACCACTACCGCTCGTCCAAACTTGACTCTAACCTACCTATATATACATTTACACAGTACGTGAGTATGTTTGCGGATATATATATATATATATATATATAAGGCCCGGCTAATGTTTCCAACGACGACGACTGTGCCGCTAAAACCCCTCAAAGCCCCGCCGACCCACCTATCCTCCTTACGTCGTCATTTTCGTCGTGTTTGCGAGCAAGCTTTCTCCCTTTCCGTACACGTTTCCACAGCCATAGTAAAAACCTCTCACCCGTTTTTCCACCAAGTGCTTACCTCAACACCCTCGTACACCCGTCTTGAGCCGCCTACTATCTCTGTATTATACTCATGTGATGTATATATATATATATATATATATATATATAAACACGTATAGAAAAGAACCTTTTTTGACCGGCGGCGTTGGTCCCTCAGCTTACCCGTCATCCTACAAACCCTACAGCCGGACATTTGGCACTCACTACCTTACTCACCCTGCGTTACAGTATCCGTGCGCTGGGATAACAGAAAGCTACGAAAAAAAAAAATAAATAAAAGAAAGTTTGCTTAAATATATATATATATATATATATATATATAATACGAACCTCTCCTCTGCACTTCAGTTTTCTCCGTTAAGACTCCTCTGAAACTCTCCGTTCCTATACATGAATCCATAGCTACTACACTCTTAATACCCCCGACTCGAATCCGGTCCCTTTAGCGGCACGTCGGTCTTTTACTCTCTTCTATCCCTCTCGCATACTATAGCCATCGTTCCTTTAGACCTTTCCATTGCCGCTAGCGTCTCCTCCTCAAAGTAATAAGTAATCCTACACGGACCACCACCGCTACCGACCGTATCTTCTATATAGACAGGATCCCAAGGGGACTTACGGCCCCTTTCCTTATTTCTACTCACCGCCTACCAAACCGACCAGTCACCTTATATATATATTTTCACCGAAAACCCTTGGCGCATTCCATCATCCGTAAAACACCAACACCCAGCCTGAAACTTCTACGCACTAACCCACATTTATTTTTTCTAATCCAACCCTTTCCTTTTTGAGTAAATAGAAGAATTAATAATAATATATATGTATTACATACGGGCGCATAAACAAAAATTGGACAAAAGTTATAATAATTATGAGTAATACAATGAACTGATTTTTGTACTTCATCAGTCAGCATATAAACATGTTAAAACATCAAACATTTATTGTGTATGTAAGAAAATTGTAGCTGGATCTATTGCCTCAAGGTTTTTGTTATATTAAACCCACAAAAAAAAAAACAAATGTCGTATTTTTATGTTTAAATTACTATATAATAAATTTTTTTTAATTGAGACAACATCAGTTTAGATATTCTTATTTAGTGATCATTTATAAAATAGTTTTAACTCAATAAATCAAACAATTGACTTATGAAAATACATCTTCTGGGTACAGATATAATAATAATCGCCTTAAAAGTTAAAAGTGCACATTTTATTATTTACAAAACTTTACGTAATTTAATTATGACTCAATGAAATAATTATTGTTTAATTTTTTAAAGGATAAAGGAACTGCTGCAGCTGCATTGTTACATCATAGGAGAATGAACGGTGGCGATCTACACCACAGTCATCATAGACACCAGCAGCATCATAGAACTAATGGAAGCAGTGGATTGTTATCACCATCGGTAAGTGCTATAAAATGTTGCATTTTTCTATTAAAATATTTGGGTTAATTTGAAATTAAAACAATATTAAAAGTTTATTTTTATAAGAACTATCATGTATATAAATTTAAAATTAAAATTATATTAAAAATATATTATTAGTTTAAAACTAAAAAACCCAGAATAGTGGTGACGTGGCATATTTGGGTCAAGTATAATGATATCTGACAGTGATTAAAATCACTATCATAAAAAACGCTTCGATGTAAACCTTTAGTGTTTAATTTTAAAAAATTGGTGGATTATTACAAAAGTTACATGATCTCCTATTTCCTTATTTATATCCTGATTAAGATAAAGTATGTCGAATGAAAGATGTATATAAATACTACTTCTCTTGAATAAATTGTTTTGATCCATACATTTTTAAAAAAGTTATAGCATTTTAAAGTAAAAAATGTAAAATATAAAATCGAGAATTTTCACACAAAAATAGCATTCGGTAGCCATTTTCACCGTGAAGACAAAATAAAGTCCGAAATTTTTTTTTTCATAATAAAGTAAATTACATTAGCTTTAATTTAAGATATATAATAAAGTGTCAAACTTTCCGGAACATTTTCAAAAGTTGAAAAAGTAAATTTTTTGTGAAAAAGTTGTCATTTTAAATCTCCCCCTGTGGGCAGGTAAAGGGTCAAATTTATAAAAAATATATGCCAAATAATAGGTAAAGACATCAAGCATCTATAAAAAAAAAAAATTATATTGATATGTTTATTTTTGAAAAAGTTACGGCAGTTTTTAGTAAAAAAAATTGAAAAATTTTTGAAAATTAGCGATTTCTAAATTTGTAATTTTTTTGGAGGTTTCCCCCATTTACGGGGAACGAGGGAAATTTTTTCAATTTTGAAGGGTAATGTCTTCGACTAGATACGATTTGTGATCTTTTGACGTATCGTTGAAAGAAATCCGTTCGGTGAGAGCTGAGAAAAAGTGGTAACAGACACAAAAAAAAAAAACACATCATAGTATAACCAAAACCTTTTCAGCTACTTATCGAAGCTAAAATATTAAACTTAAAAAGCAACCAAAAATTACTAAAAAATCGTTGATTCGTATTTCGGAATCAATCAACGTTAAACACATATAGACATCCACAATTACAAAAACATTTATGTATATAAATGTTTCATTCCTTGCAATTACATAGTTAACAAATTCTGTATGGTTATTTTTAAAAGTAATTTAATTGAACATAGTGTGTTCATTACTATTTTTCTAGAGAAATATCTTAAATTCTTATTATATGCTACACTTCTTCTAAGTATACCTCATATTAACAGTGCAAACTAATATATTAACTGTCTGAATTTAAATAAAGGAAAATTGAATGCGAATAGTTGTAGTTGAACATTTTGAAATATAGATATATTCACTTATCAAACTGGTGAACAATTTCACCTGAAAATAGTTTTTCCTTTTTGCACTTGTTTTTAAATTAATTAATTAAAATATACCTGAATTTTTCATTTTTTATTATTTTTTTGTCGAATGGGAATCTGAATTTACATAAATATTGATGGGGTTTTTATAACTGAGTAATATGTTAATAATGATATCTAAAAATTTTTATAAAATTCTTTGATTATTAAAATTAAATTAATGATAGACATCGTTAAATCTTGTGATTCGACTGTAAATTATTAGAAGAAACTCCTTTATTACGTATTAGAGTCAAATTTTGACATAATCAGAGATATTTAACAAATTTTAAACTATTTTTTTGTGGTTCAATAATTAAAGTAAATTTTTAATGTTGTTTAACTTATTTCTTATACACAGAAACTCGTAGTCAATCATATGTCACCCACTCAGCCAACGCCTCCGCATCACTTTCATCGTCATTGGTTGGATAGTGTTAGCAATACGGGTGCTACCAACTCTCCAGCAGCTGCTGCTGCAGCAATGACAGCAGCAGGTATGATGATGCCTTTAAGCATGGCTAGTGAATCTTTGGAAATGGATAATGCTGTTGCGGCTGCATACAATCGTTTGATAGCTGACTTACACCGAACTAGCAGTCACGGATTAACTGGAAGTCATCCGGCAACAGCCGCCGCTGCTGCGGCTGCTCTTTTATTTAATAATCACGCAGCCACAGCGACTTCACCTCCACCACCGCCACCGCCAATTCCTCAACATCATCATCAACAGTTGACGCATCATCAAATACAACAGCAATTGCAGCAATACGCTGCGGCAGCCGCTGCAGCAGCGGCGGCGGCAGCGGCATCTGCTTCACCAAACGTATCTGTTCCAGACAACATGATCGGTTCTTCTCCGTCACCACCGGTATCTCTTTGTCGTTTGACATCACCGTCGTCCAACAAAATAAGTAAGTAAAAAATTAACTTTCATAATAATATTTTAAACCAAAAATAGAATAGTAATATTTTATGTGAATGGATTTCCGAGAAGTGTTTTGAACACGTCATTATGCAAAACATGACGCGGTATATTTATAACTTAAGTAAAAAAAATATTTTTGCTCAATAAATGATCGATATATAACTAATTGATTAACGTTAAACAAATATGTTTTTTGAGATTTAGTAAATAAATTAATATTTGTTAAACATTTTATTTAACATTAAATTTTGCTACTAATATGTTTATTCGATAAATAGCTGAGAAATGTATACTATGTTGTTTTTTTCCTTATGTTTATTGTCCGTCTTCGTGATTTTTTTACTCCTAAAAGCAATTGTTGCTAGAAAAGATTACACATTGTATTTAATTTAAGCTATTGACGTCATAATTTAAGAACAATTTCATTGATTTGTGTAATCAAGAGAAATACGCCATGAAACAGTCAATTATGATACTTTAAGTTTTAAATTGTCATATTATATAAAAAGTACTATAAAAATAATTTTTGAAAACCTTACGGATTATGAAGAATAATAACAGATATATTATCAATTCATTTTTTTCTATTTCATATAAAAATCCACGTCTTTCAACTTTATAATATTAAAACTCATAAAATATTCTTTAAGATGAAAAAAGAAAACGAACCTTGTTTTCAATAAATCGTTCGCTTTAGTACAAATTTATTTAATTAAAAAAAAAAAAAACAGCGGATGTTGTAATATTTTATTGTATTACCAAAAACCTACGTATTTCAAAGTTCATTACATTGAAGCTTACAAAATTTATGTTATGTTGAAAAAAGAAACATTTTTATGTCCATTTGTTTTCTATGATATATTTAAACTGATTTATTTTTAATAAATTAAAAAATAATGTGTATGATAAAATAAGTATTTGAAAAACTAAAATTAAACATTTATATATAATATGCGTTTTTTAGCCATTTTGAAGGTATCCAAATTTGTTCAATTTAGTTAGGAATATATAATAGCATAGGAATAATTTTCGATTTAGACAGAAATAAACTCCCTTAATTCTCCCTACTTAATCTATATCACTAATTACAGCACATGTTATGTTTTTAAACAAAGCAATAAAAATTTGTACTGGCTGATTTTTATGCTGGGAATTAGCGCTTTGAAGATAGTATTCGTTATGCTGTCTTAGTTGTTTCTGTTTGTTGTAACCTCAAGTTCAAAATAACATATGCAGGTAGGGCCGCGGGCAGACTATCATCATCTTCCCCTGTACTGGCTGATATTGTGTTCTGAAAATCTAACAAAATTTATTAATGCATATAAATCCTTTTCTTAATTATTAACTTTTAAATTGATGTATTGACTATCTCTCAATAACAGCGACACAATTAGAAATTTTATATGACTGAATCTTTTGGTAAAGCGCTCATTTTCCTCAGCATTTTTCTATTTAAAACCGGAAATTCGCCAGGCTTGCTAATAATTGTTCCAGAAAATTTCATTTAAATCCGTAGGTTTTTGATCGAGCTATGTGTATTTTTTTTTAAGTTCGTGAGCATAGTATTTATATGGACATGTGTGTACGCATATAAATTTTATTTATAATTTGTTTTACACCAATGTAAAACACAAATAACAATGTACTAAAAATTGTTTTTAATGATTGTAAAGTTTTTTTTATATACCTGACAGGTATTACCTGTTTTTCTAAATAATAATAATTAGTTGTTTATTATTAAGTATAATTTCGAATACACATTTGTATTATTTTATTAGCCATTTAATAAGACATCAAGATATTACATTATAATATACGTTTTTGTTATCATCTGTATTATTGTAACTCTTTCAGTGTCTATTGGAATGGAAAAATCTGTGTTTTTCATTCTTAAAATAATATAACAAACGTAAATAGTCTTTAGCACTAACACTAAAATATGCAACTTATATAATAAAACAAAACTATGGTAAAAGTATTAAATTGCTATAATATTTTGAAGTCAAATTGATAAACACCAAAAAACATTTTTATTGAAAATGTGTCATGTTAATCAAATTTCAAACAAAAAAGCTTTTTACAAAATGTCTCTATCTTTGTCCGATTGTAATTACTGACTGAATGATTAAAGCACTAAAAAATAAACATATTTGATATCAACATTTAAATTTTAATTAGTTAATTATAGTTCGACATAAATATAAAAATCTGTATCAACTATTAACAATGATTGAAAATAAGACAATGTTGTACTGTTATTAAAATTGTTGAAAGAAGACAGTTATCAAATTGAAATATTAAAATTTATTTTGATGATCTTAGTCAACAAATGTCAGCCGTATACCTACTCTATAAATTTTATTATTTACTCTTTTTGAATTTTACTCAGTTAAATAATTAAATATCTACTACGTTTAATCCGTCCTACGTATAGGGAGGCGCCTAGTTATGGTATATTATATGAACGATAAAAATTCGTCTGTTGAAAAACAAAATGAATGGATTCCTAATTTATAATATTTAATAAATTATTCAATAAAATTATTAATAATAGTATTTCATTATTTTAATTTTTTACTTTGATTTTGAAAAGTAAAATTTAATCTAAGATCTTGGCTGGTGTATTTTCAATCTTTACGCATTGAACCATTTTTTGATAGTCATTTTAATCACTGTCAGATCTAGTTTCAAATAGCCCTATATCTATTACGTGGGGATCATTGAGCTTAATTTTTGTATCTGTAAACTATATGATAATTTAACGTTTGAACAAATTATTTGACAGAAAGCGACAACGATAAATCAGAAAACCTAAACGGAGTCATCGGTGATCGGTTAAACTCGTCAGAACAGCTCATGCCGATCAATATTTCAATGGAAAATAGACATGAAAACACTTCATCAGTGACTTCAAATGGGATGGCTGTACAATCGGTAGACGATGGACAGCAACGCGTGGAACGTCATGGTAGTAGCGTTGATAAGTCTCCTGGAAATTTGAATCAACAGCAAGAAAACGAACCGACACCGACTACTGCGATAAATTCGTCGTCTAAACTTGAAGTAGCTCACGGAGATACTATTATGGACAACGATGATGATGAAGATGAAGATGATGCCAATGTTACGACTGGTACAAATGAAAGTCATCAAGATGGTAGTGGTGATGATGATACCGATGATGTTGAAATGATGATGCATATGAGCCATCAAAACCAAAATCATAATTCAACAAATAGTCATTCGAACGTACCAGTAGATCCAGAGCGATTAAAGGCATTCAATGTAAGTTGGCAAATATTTTTTTTTTAAGATTTAGTTATTATGTTAAGTGCAGCATCAGTACCACGTATTATTTTTTAATTAAAAATAAATTTCGATTAAATTTTTTACTTTTAGATGTTTGTTCGGTTATTTGTCGATGAAAACTTGGATAGAATCGTTCCTATATCTAAACAGCCTAGGGATAAAATTCAAGCCATCATGGACTCTTGTGCCCGTCAATTTCCTGAATTTGCTGAGAGATCTAGAAAACGTATCCGAACATATTTAAAGTCATGTCGCCGTAACAAAAGAAGCATTGCCCAACAAGGCAATAGTACTACAACAGCTGTGACTACATCATCAGGAGAGTCACCTATATCGAGTTCATCAGTAACGAGTTGTTGGTCTGCCGCAGTGGTGGATGGTCAAACTGCAACACCTCCAGCCCCGGTGAGAATTTTTTGATTTTCATAATATAATTAAAAACGAGTAATACAAATAAAATAATTATAAATTAGATAATACGAACTATTAGATTAAAACAGTTTAACCAAAACAATATTCTTTCTAAAATTTTGTATTATTGTATGACTTCTCAGAAAAAAAATGCAAATCTATCATTGTGTTGATTTAAATGTAGCAAACTATAATTGCTATTTAAAAAACCGTACAAAGCGAATAATTAAACGATATTTTGTAATATTTAAAATTAGGTTAATGTAAATCAAGTCCAAGTTTAATCGGCCAAAACTATACCTATACTATATAGAAGCTTAAGTTCTGAAGCTATAAATATGAGTAGAGGGATGAAAATTTTATTTTTAACGATTGAATGTTTATATTATGCGACCTTTAAAGCTTCTTTTAAAACTAAAAAAAAAATGTTATCTACTATAAGAAATTGGTCGTCAAATTCAAAAAAAACATATACTTTTTTTTAGATAAGTAAATTATTTTTATTAAAAATTCGGTATGGGTTGCGCACAATGAATTATAATAAAATCTAAATGCATAAGCAGTGACTATGCCCATCTTTCTAATAACTAAATTAAGCAAATTATTTAACAAACATTTATAATTTGAATGAAATTTAAAATAAAAAACATTGAAGTTGTAAAATTAAAAATTCTATACATGATTGTGAAACTTGTCAGAGTCGCATCGAACCTTTTTATACTTTCAGATATAATCTATGCTTATCCCAACTATGCCACGACCTCACTGTGCTAGGTTTTAATAATTATTTTTAGCATTTCTTTACATTAAAAAATTACCCATTAAAACAATTTTTCCAAGAAGGGAGTGTGATGATATCTCTCATGAACCCTCTGACACGGCAATGTCTATACAAATGTTTTAAATATTATTGATGGTGTATGTAAAAATAAATTTTAAATTACCTAAAAATTATTATATTATTTTATTCTAACTTAATTTATTGTTTATAATCAATTTAAAATTTAACTTATTAGCTGCAATGTGTAGCTAAAAACTATTTGTTTGTTTTACTTTGCCATGTCATTTTTTGTGTGCTTGATTTGCCGTCATTACTACCATTTCTACTGGACCGATTAACGATACGTCAATAGATCACTAACGTATTTAGTTAAGACTATCAGTGCAATAATTTTGAAAAATTTCCTCAATATTTTGAATAAAGGAAAATATCTCAAAAAATTACAATTGCCATAAAACAGTCAATGTTTTTAGTTTTCGCTTTATATTTAAATAACTCTTTAAAAACTAAAAAGATAACTGCGAAATTTTTATTGATAATATTTGTCTTAATGACGATGTACATTTTTTTAAATTCTTTAACTACTGTGGGGTTTAAAAACATCATATCAATGTTTTTATCTTCTTAATTGTTGAAAATGTGATTTTTTAATCTATCTTTTTTAAATTTACATCAAATTAAAGATGATAAAACATACTTAAAGATAAAAAATGAAAACGTTAGTGTGACTTGTCCTTTGCGAGTAATCAAACTTAAAAATCAAAAACCATGCAATTTTCAGTAGATATGTTAAATTTTTCTTAGTATGTTCCTAATACTCATCGAAGAGTTTTACGACATTGATTTTAATTAGTGTCAGATAACAATCAATATTAATCTAAAAAATATATCAATTCCACTTTACTGGATCGCTACTGTAGTTTATGCAATTTAATCATGATTATTATAATTTTTTTTTCAGAGACCTACTCCAGCTCATCTTACAAGCGTACAAGCTGAAACTATTTTAGCCCGAGCTTGTTCCAATGAATCGCAAAACGCTAAGAGAATGCGTCTAGGTCTAGAACCAGTTGCTCAGCCTTATCCTGACCACGGACAACCAATTGAACATAATCGCAATAATGCAGGAGACTCAGGTTCCGGTTCTGGTGATGACGAAGATGGTCACAGTGGTGGTGGCGGAGGCGGAGAAGAAGATTCCATGAAAATGGAAACAACAGAATCTGGAGATATTGACAAAGAGATCACGCCTTCGTCTTTAGTCGTTGCTAGTTACGGTTCTCCCACAAAATCGTCAACTGTAGAAGTCAATGGTCAACCGTCTAACTGCAGTGAAATTGGCGACAGCGACAGGCACAAACTGAAAGCGAAACGCCATCATAGACGGTCGCCTTTTTCACCATCTCCTATCAATACAAATGGTAAACATTTAATTATATTTACGTTAATAGTATAGGTAATTCGAGCTTTTTTTATTAATTTCTAAAAACATTTTATTGTACTTTTTGTATTACAACTCGTCACCAAGCTATTCATACAAATTCAACTCTGTTTAATTTACTAACGTCATAGGACATCGACTGAATTTTGGTCTACTTTTCATCTTAGTTTTTATTGTCGATAAATAGCATTAAACATAACTTAACTTAACTATTAATAACATGTACATATATTTTTAAGGTCCAACTGATTTGAGTATCAAATCTATGATGGGATCATCGTCCACAATACCGTCTCAACAACAACAAGCGTCTATTGCAGCGTCTACAGCCAGAATGCTTTTAGGAGCTCCTTTGTCTCCGATCACGTCGGGTCCTACAAATATTCCATTCCAACAACAACACCACGTATCAAGTGGTACAAACAACATAGGGTTACTGACCACACAGCCGACATTCACCCCAGTACCAACTCCAACTATACAACCACACAAGAGCGGCAATAATCAATCGCAACTATTACAAAAACTCAATGCTGCCGATATGATGACCGTCCGACAGCTAATCGCCGGCTACAGAGAATCAGCCGCTTTTCTATTACGATCAGCTGATGAACTGGAACAATTGCTTTTCCTACATTAATTATAATATTCTCCATTAATTACTCTTATTAATTGATATTATATTATTATTATTATTATTATTATTATTATATATAGAGGCGAATACCTCACTATCTTAATCAAAATTTAACATGTTATTGCGTTTAAGGTATATGTTTATAAAAATTAATACGTATTTGAGTGATGATGTTAAAGTACAAAAATGATTGAATAAAATAATTACTGGTCGTTGTCGTCGTCGTCGTGTATAACTGAATTTGTTTTCATTTTAATTTCCTTTTCCTAAGCAAATTTCGGTAGAATCATTGAAATATTAAATTAAATTACTTAACTTTTCATAGATAATACTATTAAATAGGTAGACAAGATTTCATAGAAATTAATGATATTATGAGCAGGACTCGGGAGTTATACGTTTATAAAATTCGTTTTTTTACTTTTAAAACACCCAACATTATGAAAAATGATTATGATATAAAGTACTACGGGAATATCTTTTGTTCTGGAGGCAAATGATCTGTTTATGACACTTAAAACTAAATTTCTAATTAATATACACTACTTAGTATTAACAAAAACTAACATGAATATTTATTTATTATTGATGTACTCGGTATAACTAAAATAAATTTAATAAAAGCCTAAAAATTTGAACCCTGATTACGAGTTATACATGTACAGTGTAAATTGTTACATTTTTGTTCTTTAATATTTAACTAGTCATAAATAAATATATTATTTCGCTACTCTAAAGACTATACTATGTATTTACATTTTTTCAATTATCCAGGAAAGCGAAAAATCTGAAATCGCTGTCTAATAATCATTTTTTAGTAATAATTTATAAATTTAGATTTTAAGTTCAGATATATAAGGGTGGACAAAAAAATGTTTGTTCTAATTTTTATACTGACAACTCTGAATTTGTTTTAATACTAATAAAAACAAACTGTAAACATTTATAGGCTCATTTAATAAGGGTAACATGTGCAGCATGTTAACTTTATTTAATAGTGCGAAATGGGTAAATAAGTTATAAAAAAACTTATACTTTTCATTATAACTTTTTTATATTTAACTTATAGATACAGTTATTTAATCCACTAATATAAACTGTTGGATTCAAAAATATTATTTTTTCGGTAAAACAATTAAAAAATAATGCAATAGTAAGAAATAAGTCAACATTTAGGAATTACTGAAATAAATTTTTGACAAAAAAAAAATATAGTTTTTTTTATTAATAACTATACTTAAGAATAAAAAAAATCTCAAGAAAAATTTGAATAAAACTATTTTTACACGCCGATTTCATACCTCTACTTAGTTTTTTTTTTGAGTTTCTGAGTAAAAACTAATTCGTGAAATTTAAATATTTTTAATACAACATAAACCCTGAATATAGTTTAAAGACTTTCTCTTCATTACTAAAGAGTTAAAGTAAATTCATATATTAATAAGTAAATATCAAATTTGAAATCGGCGGAATAAAAATTTGTTTAAAACTAAAGATTTTTTTTAGTGTAATTAATAAATAATAAAATGAAATAATGTATTTCTCGTATTTAAAAATACTAAACGTGGTATTTAAATTCTATAAAACAGTATAAATTAGTTGTACATAACTTAAATATTACCCGAATACAATTTATATAAAAATATAGTTACTTCAAAAGTTTGAGATTTTCACACATTTCTTTCTATAAATGTCGAATATATTAATTTTTACTGTTTTACTAACATATAACAACCATTTTAGAAATTCACTTATATTTTTTCAATACTGAGTTGAATAACTGTATCTGTACATTTAATATAAAAACTGTTATCGTGACTATATTTATAACTAACTATATTTTGTTAGTATAACTATTTTTTTCAATTTCAGAGAAAATTTTGCACAGCTTATTTTTATTTCCATTAAAATAATTAAAAAAGTAAAACAGTTTAAAAGTTTATCTTTTTTGTAACTATCCAAGCTATATTATATATTTTAGTTCACGAACACTCCATAAATAAAAACCTAGTACAATCCATACGAAGCATAGTGAACTCCACTATAGTATTAAAATCTGATATTGATTAAAACCACTATTAAAAAAAACGATTCGATGCAAATCTGTATATTGTATTTTATTTCAAGTAGGAATTTAAATTGTTTAAAGATAGCCAATTTAAAAACAATAAAAATTAACTCACATTATATAAATATATTACTACTCTCATATATTGATATTGTGATATCACTATGATAGAAAAAAATCAAAGAAAATTCAATTATTCTGATCTTTGTTAATAATAAACTCAGTTATGAAAGTGTAATTTTAATTTATTATAAGCAATTGGTAGTTAGAACATTTTTTTTAGAATGGGCAACCTTCTTCCTTTATATACTTACTGGAATGACATTAAAAGCTACAAAAATTCTCTCTAAAATTATTTATAAAATAAATCCTATTTAATTTTTTTTCTTATAAAAGTAGAGGAATTATATAGATTATTGACCTTCTATTTTTATATGATTCATATGACTAATTGACCTAAAATATAAGCAATTAATGATTGGAAATAAACACAGCACAGTGGGATCACATCACAGTAGGAACGTGACATAGTTGGGACAGGTATAGATGATATTTGACAGTGATTAACATCACTAACATAAAAAACGCCCATTTTATATATTATTTATTATTTTAAGTGTTGAATCTAATTCTTTAATTTTACTTGAATCGACTTGGAGAAAAAATAATTTATGTTAGATTAATATTACAGTTACAAATATTATTTCCAGGGAGATCAAAAATATTTTACTATAAAAAATTAAGAAATTTTATGATAAAAATATTAATCGAAAATTTTACAAGCTTTATTGCCAATAAACTGAAAAAGAAAGTTTATACAAATATAAATATCCTATTGAAGACCATTGACTAATATTTGATGTATTAGAAAAAACAAAGTAGGAAAAAATTTTGTACTGGACGTATTGTACAAACAGCGTGAGAACATTTCTTATGTCTAGAAAATAAATAACACTTGACGAATTATTTTGAAAAATGATTCCACATCGATTGAGTGACTTTTTATTTCATAACCTTTTTTTAATATTATGTATTATGAAATTTTAAATTCCATTGAGCGTTTTTTATGTAATTCTAATTAGCCCACGTGGTTAAAGCAAAAAAGAAATAAAAAAGTTCATAGGACTAACTCTCTATATGTTACTGAAAATAGTACTACTAAAACTATTTGCAGTTAAAAAGAAAATCAAAAAAAACCCAGCACAGTGGGGTCGCGGCATAGTGGGGATGTTGCATAGTTGGGTTCAGTATAGATTTAATCTGACAGTGATTAAAATCACTATCATAAGAAACGCTTCGATGCAAATCAGTAGATAGTGTTTAATTCTAAGAAATTGGTGGATAATTACAAAAGCTACATTATCTGCTAGTTTCTTATTAATACCCTGATTAAGATAAAGTATGTCGAATGAAAAAGGGATTATTAAAAAATATTATTTCTCATAAAAAAATTGTGTTGATTCGTACACTTTTCAATGAGTTATAGCATTATAAAGTTAAAAATGTAACCAACCCAACCCAACATCAACTCCTATTTCCTTAATTATATCCAGATTAGTAATTATTTTAATTATATATTATATAATTTTTATAATTAATTATTTTCAAATTATTATTGATTTTTAATATGTTAAAAGTAATCATTTTGAACCTACTTCTTTTTGTTCTTTAAAGTGAAAGTTTTAATAAAAAAAAAATGAATTTATTACCATAACTTTTAACTCAACTTGCAAGTTTGAAATAAATATTATTAAATAGAAAAAAATGAAATTGGTAGATTATTTCAAAAACAACAATAACACTTATTCCCTTAATTTTACCCCGATTTATAACTATAATATATGAATACATAATAATTACAGTAATTAAATTGAGTATGAAAGTGGTATTCAATAATATAATATTGTAATTTTTACGGAGATATTATAAAAATAAAAAGGAGTTGTATATTCATATACTTTTAATGCGTATACAAATTTAAAGGAATTTATGCAATACTTTTTAATAAAAAAATTTTGTTACTTATGAATAAATACACTAAACAAAAGGAACTTTCATCAGAAAAAAAATATACTTTTCTAAATAAACTTTTCGTGATGTTTTCAAATGTGCAATTAAACTTTTTCTATTACTTCTAAGTTTTAATATTATTACTTATTATTAAAAAATAAGTATTTACATATAAAAAAAAATAATTAAGAACAAAAAAAATTGTATTAAATTAATACTGATTTTGATTTTTAATATGTTAAAGGTAATCATTTTGAACCTATTTTTTATTGTCTTTTAAAGTGAAAGTTTTAATGAAAAATACCTTCTCAGCTTCGCATCGAAGCTAAAAAATGAATTTGTTACCATAACTTATAGTTCAACTTGCAAGTTTGAAATTGACATTATTAAATTGAAAAAAATGAAATTTTTAAGATTAATATGCAATCTGGAAATTTTATAATTACTAATTACAGTACATTTGTCAGAAAAATTCGATTTTTTTACATTTTTATCGTAATAGATAACTGAAATAGAAAGAATAGTAATCATATCCTAATAACTTTTGGTGTTTAAAAAAATTCTGCAATTGAAATATTCAGAACTTAATTAATTTTAATAATTTACTTTAATTAAATGAACCAATCAAACCAAAGTAGTTAAAAAGATTTACTCAATTGAGCATATTATCAAAAATATAATTATAATACGAGGGTAGACTATAGTGATAAGATCCTTTATATTTATTGAAATTATTGAATCTAAATGAGATAAATATCAAATGATTTGAAAATTCTATTGTAACTCAAAAAAAAAATGCAAAATTTTAGAAGCCACAAACGGATTTGAACCTCGTACCCTAGGCGTTAAAGATCAAGGTGTTACCCATTCGGCAACTATTCGTTGATTTTTGTTGCATGATAAAATTGGCTATTTAAGCTAACTCAAATTTAAAAATTACTTTTTCGACTTTAAAAAAGTAAAAAATGTTAATAAGTATAATATCATATGTCTTATGAACTTTATTCTATGTCAATGAAATTATATAATATTCATGAAAGTCAGTTTATTCCCCTAATAAAATATTTTAAAATAAAATAAAATACAAAACCTAGAATTTTAATAAAAAATATCATATTTTTAAATACGGTAGCCTTTTGGCAATAGAAGATAGGTCGTCGGGACAAATTTTTTTTTTTCATTTAGTAGTACATAAAATAATCTTTAATTTGATTTATGTTTAAAGGACGCAGTATATCCGGAACATTTTCAAAAATTAAGTTGAAAAAGTTAGTTTTTGTAAAAAAGTTGCTATTTTAAATCCCCCCTGTGAGCAGAATAAGTGTTAGATTTTCAAAAAAAAATGATATAAAATGAAAGAAAATTACCTAAGGTTTCAATATAAAGAAATATTATTTTGATTAGTTAATATTTGAAAAAGTTATGGCAGTTTTAAGTACAAAAAACATTCCGATAGAAGGTGATTTTTATCGTAAACATTACATTTTTTTTATAATTTCGACAGCCATTTGCACATAGAAGATAAGGTGTCGGGACAAATTTTTTTTTTTCATTTTATAGTACATAAAAAAAACTTTAATTTGATATATGTTTAAAGGACGCAGTATTTCCGGAACATTTTCAAAAGTTTAGTTGAAAAAGTTCTATTTTTTATACAATGTTTCAAAGTTTGAACCCCCCCTATATAAGGGGAAATTGTCTAATTTTAATAAAAAGTATGTCAAATGGAAGATGTACTTATAATGTATTTAGAAAAAAAAAAATTGTGCTGATACATGCATTTTTCGAAAAGTTATAGCATTTTTAAGTTGAAAATTAAAAATTGAAAATCGAAAATTTTAACACAAAAATAGTGTTTTTTTAACTACGGCAACTGTTTACATGCAGAAGATAAAGTGTCGGGACAAATTTTTTTTTTTCATTTTATAGTACATAAAATAAGCTTTAATTTGATATATGTTTAAAGGACGCAGTATTTCCGGAACATTTTCAAAAGTTAAGTTGAAAAAGTTCTATTTTTTATACAATGTTTCAAAGTTTGAACCCCCCCTATATAAGGGGAAATTGTCTAATTTTAATAAAAAGTATGTCAAATGGAAGATGTACTTATAATGTATTTAGAAAAAAAAAAATTGTGCTGATACATGCATTTTTCGAAAAGTTATAGCATTTTTAAGTTGAAAATTAAAAATTGAAAATCGAAAATTTTAACACAAAAATAGTGTTTTTTTAACTACGGCAACTGTTTACATGCAGAAGATAAAGTGTCGGGACAAATTTTTTTTTTTCATTTTATAGTACATAAAATAAGCTTTAATTTGATATATGTTTAAAGGACGCAGTATTTCCGGAACATTTTCAAAAATTAAGTTGAAAAAGTTAGTTTTTGTAAAAAAGTTGCAATTTTAAATCCCCCCCCATGAGCAGGTTAAGTGTTAAATTTTCAAAAAAATTATATCAAATGAAAGGAAAATATCTAAGGTTTTAGTTTAAAAAAAAATTATGTTGATTTGTTGATTTTTGAAAAAGTTATGGAAGTTTTAAGGAAAAAAAGTGAAAAAAATGACAAAATTTGTCGATTTTTAAATTTGTAATTTTTTTGGATATTTCCCCCATTTGCGGGGAACGAGGGAAAATTTTTAAATTTTTAAGGGTAATGTCTTCAACTAGATACAATTTGTGATCTTTTGACGTATTGTTAAAAGAAATCGGTCCAGTGAGAGCTGAGAAAAAGTAGTGACAGACACAAAAAAAAAAAAAAAAAAAATAAACACATCATGGTAAAATTAATACCTTCTCAGCTTCGCATCGAAGCTAAAATAAAAAAAAAATAAAAAAAAAAATAAACACATCATGGTAAAATTAATACCTTCTCAGCTTCGCATCGAAGCTAAAATAAAAAAAAAATAAAAAAAAAAATAAACACATCATGATAAAATTAATACCTTCTCAGCTTCGCATCGAAGCTAAAATCTAAAATGTCTAATTATTAGCCACTAGTTGTTATTTTTTGTAATTTTTATTGCAACCTGATGAAAAATTTTAAAAATAATAATACGGGCGCTATCTGTGAGAGCCTCAAAATTATAAACATAGGATTTCGGGTCGGTAAACTTGCAATGTACATCGGAAAGGCTCGTGCTGGATCGCCGACAATAGTGGCAAGCGTTTGTATACTTGATATACAGTCGGTGACGGCTTCGGCGCACAGCTTCCAGATGGAAGCATCGGCTCGGTAGGGATCCAACCGCACCCCCTCACTCGTCCACATCGTCCATTTGACTGTAGTATTGTTTTCATCGTTTATTCGTTCATTAAAATAATACTAGTGTTAATGATTACATCAATAATAGTTAATTGGTGCTCGAAGTATTTGGACAGACGTTTTTTTTAGAAATTTCCAAATAAAATATTACATTGTTAATATTAGTATGGATTGGTTAAAGTTTAGAGCGTTCGAACGGTTTCGACTAGATAAACGGGTCGATTATATTGGCCAATGAATAAAAATAAAAGTTCATATGTTTGCTATCAAAAATTAATTTAAACTAGAAATAATTAAACATCATGACTATGGCCGATACCGGAGTGACTACAATGACAAGTGCTGATTTCGATGACCAGGTGAGTACTGTTATCAAATTCAAATTAAAAAAATGCACTGTTTTCTCTTTAACAATAATAATTTTCGTATTTATTTATGCGTTTTAGGATTTAGTTGGTATAAGCAATGCACAGAAACGGAATTGGCGAGGCATACTTATTGCTTTAATGGTCATTGTGGCTGTATTGGCCATGATAATCATGTCAGTAGTACTATTAACACCTGAAGAAGACTTCGGATTAGGTGGACGCTGGCGAAGAATGCGTGGACGCAGAATCCGTCTAAGTGATGTTCTAGAAGATGAGCAATCGCATTCCGTGCAATTGTTCAATGGCACGTGGATATCGGGTAAGACAAATTTTGATTATTCATAATAATATCGTCATGTACATAAAAATTTAATTGCAATCACAACGTTAGACAAGAGTTCAGTCTTTTATTATTTGAAACTGTAAATACTAATAATATAATTAACTCACTTAATATGCTTGTTTATTATACAGGCCATGAAATGATCTACAAAACAACAGAAGGTGGTGTGGGATTACTGAATGTCAGGACGATGGTCAGCACACCTCTTATGTCAAATCATTCATTTGTAAGTATATTAAGTCCCATTTACTTCTGTCGAAGTGAAGTGTTAAAATTGCTTATAATTATAAATTTTTCTGCAGAATCTACTGAATCCAGTAGTGGATTTCACTATGTCACTAGATAGAAAATATTTGCTAATAGCACATGATCCACAAAAGGTATTTTTTCCAACTAAAATAAATGTTTTATATTATTCACAAAATTTTCACTTGGATTTCAGTTATTTAGATACTCATATTTGGCTCGATACACAGTATACACTATTTCTACCAAGTAAATAACCAACAAATTAAAAACAATTTTTTTTTGCTGTACATTAAAGTATATGTCACATATTTTTATCAAACTTCATGAAATCTTATATTTTATTACAGTCATATGATATCGGTGACTCTGAACACCGTAGAAAATAATAATGATAATGTAACTACAAACCAACAACAGCAATCTTACTTTATGCAAGTGCAGTGGAATGGAGGTGCTAAAACAGAAGACGCGAGCTTTAATACTGCATCTTATGATGAAAAAATAACTCCTCCACCAGAGGATAAAGATTTCGATTCTAATTCCAAGCCATTATCACCTCTAGGCTTAGTGGCCGTGTACAGTAATTGCGATATTTATTACATTGCAATATTAACTGAAAAACTTTCAGAAAATAATGAAGATATAACAGTTAAGTTAGTTCCTAAAAGAATTACTAATACTGGAGTGCCAGGTATTATTAGCAATGGTGTACCTGACTGGCTTTATGAAGGTATGTAATAAAAGTGATATATATGTATATTATCATTAAAAAAATGTCCATTTATTCAGAAGAAATATTGAAGTCTAGAACGGCAATGTGGACATCTTCACCAAATACTCCGAAAATGATGATGTTATATGCGACATTTGATGATACTCGCGTGGGAGAATACAAATTTCCCATTTATTCAACCAATGTTGGCAGTGATTCTTTCAAGCGTCACTTATACCCAGAAATCCGTAGTCTGCGATATCCAAAGGTTTTGGTCTAAAAGTTTAAACTCCTAAGTATTAGTTAATAATGTGACTTTCTATAGGCTGGGACATTAAATCCAATCGTTACTCTATCAGTGTTCAACATTGGAGATGTTGCTGAAAATCTCAAAAACAACAACTTGCAACAGTCAATAAAAATTCGCACGCTCACTCCTCCCTCAATGTTCCAGTATACAGAGTATGTAATAGTCCTAAGATTGTAGGATTTTCAAAATATATTTCTCATTGAATTTGCTTTATTTTCCTATTTTCATTTTTAGTGATTATTATTTTACGTCAGTACAATGGGTCAGTCCAGAAGAAGTGTGTGTTGTCTGGTTGAATCGACAACAAAATACTAGCGCCACTACCATTTGTAAATCACCTATGTGGATTTGCCAAGAAGTATTTATAAAATCACGTTTATCTTTAGAGATAATTTTGTACACAAACAAATCTTCTTCTTCTTCCTCGCCTTAATCCCAACTACTTGGGGTCGACCACCTTTATCCTAAACTTCCACTTGACACGATCTCCCACATCATCTACGCTCACATCAGCTCTCCTCAAATCGCATTCAATAGCATCCCTCCATCTCTTTTTTGGTCTTCCTCTACCTCTTCTTCCTTCAACATTCATTTATATAACTGTTCTTACAGCTTCTTTGTACATAAACAAATAAAAGATTTTTATTTTGTTTGATTATCTCAGACTCAAGTCATAAATGCTGCATCGATGGTTAGTCGTCATGGCAACATTGGTCACGGAATTCATGGACAACCTATTGCTGGCCAAAATAGTCAAACCCGACTAGGCGGATGGGTGGACGTAACAGGACCACCGGTTTTTAGCCGAGATGGAGATGGATATGTTTCACTGGCACCCATTAGATACGGTACAAACAGTGGTTCAGGACGTACTTCGGGATTTGCTGGAATGCATCAGGCTGCTTCAAGTAATAACAGATACGATCTCGGAGCAGGCTATTACAGACAAATAGTTGCTGTGAATATAACAAAAAAACTTTTGATCCCACTTACTTACGGCCCTTGGACTGTCGAAAAAATTTTATCATGGGACCATATCACTAATACTATGTAAGCATAGTTAATTCTAATACATATAATGTAATTACGTGGTTAAAAGGTAAAGACTTTAACCATTCAACCAAAATGACAATAATATTTACTGTTTTTTTTTTAATTTTTTACAAAAAAGTCATTTTTATGTGCTAGATTGGTTAATTCTTTTAAGGTGTATTTTAAGCTACGATACGGGTGTCAAATATAAACTACAAATTTCGTAATCTATCTTTAAGAGCTCAATTTTTGCTATCTCATAATTGTTTTTATGTTTTAAAAAACAAATTCTCATTTTATTTTATTTTACAGTTATTTTTTGGCTATACCTGCCGATAGGCCCAGCGAACGGCATCTGTATGCCACCACACATTATTATTATCATATGAGCAGTTTGAGCACCTCATCATCCTACCGATCTCACCAACCGCATACGCCAGCTCATTTAATTGATCCCCAACCTTCAGTTTGTCTAAGCTGCTCAAATGAAGAAATAAATGAAAATCCAGTTGCTCCTGATGCTGTTTCTACAGTTGAAAAAAACTATACAACAACAGAAACATTAACAATAACAACATCTGAACCAAAACCCGCCGAATCACGTCTATACCAATTTTTATTATCGTCACAACAATATCAATTAGATCAATCAGAAATCGGACATATTGGGGTAAGCAAAAATGCAAAACAAGACAAGTATGATGACCAAGCTGACCAAAGAAAACGTCATAATCAGCGATTACGAGAAAATGAACAACAATTAAAAACTAATAGAGGTACCTTAAAATTTAATTTACGAAACGCTAAATAATTTAACTACGCTGATCAATAACTTCAATTATTAAATGACCAGATTCTTAAATAGAATGTATTTTTATAAAATAAAAAAAGTATTTTAACCACTTCTCTTTGAAATATCAGTAATTTTTTTGACAGAATAAGATTTATTTTGAACTAAATTAACAAAAGTAAAACAGACAACTTTTTTCTATAAATAATATCATATTATGTTTCACTTTTTAATAATAAAGGAAAATTCTCTATGGAATTTGTGATTAATGCAAGAAAAAGAATAATAATAATAAAAAAACCTAAGGTTAAACTATTAAATTAATTCTCATTTCACGAATTATACTTTTTATATGAATTTTTTATTCAGAATCTATGTAACAAAACTTTAGTTGCGGTTTAGGTTTTTCAAGTTCAAATTTTGATCAAACGGGTGTTGAATTAATAGGTTCTATGAATTTCTTGTTAAAATCATGCAAAACTTTTTTTTTTCAGTAATTTTTAACCAAATAATAATATTATTATTTTGTTAATATTATTATTTTAGAGAGATTATAAATAATTATATCAATAAATGATGATTATAATCTCACTTAAAATCATCGATGAAAAATTATTTATTTTTGTAATGAATAACAAAACTTACAAATTAATATTAAAAATCGAATTAATTATTATTGACAAAATGTAATATAAAAAATTAGATGGATTACATTTGACGTATAGAGTTCAATTAAATACTAGAAAATATAAAACAATTTTTAGCTTTATATTGTCGGCAAAAAACTTCAAAATTTTGTAATCCTGAAAACTTTCAAGCTTTAGAGCTTTAATAAGTTGCTGCCCATAGTTTGTTTTTAATTTATAAAATCATAAATTAAATGACGAATTTAAAGTAAGATTAAAAAGCTAACTGATGTACGGCTGTTGTGTAACTGTATGATTTTTCTACTAGTTTATATTTTTGATGGATGCGCAAATAATAAACACAAAACACGTTTTTTTTTTATAAAACAATAGCTATTTAAGTTTTATAATATCACGTTTTACAATTTAGTCTCGATGTATTTACTCTCAACTTTTTAATCATGGTAATACTAGATTTTTGTTTATATCAGATATCTTTATATAAATAATTTATTAAATACTCAAAGACTAAATGTTTTTTTATGACCATAGATCCTCGTAGAAAACCTGGAGGTAATCAGATCAGATGTAATTATTACGACGCTGAATTCAGTCTTACAGCCGAGTTCTACGCTCTCATTTGTTTGGGGCCTGGTGTCCCAATGGTTACCCTTCACAAAACAGTAGTAGTTCCTATACGAGAAGAAGAAAAAAAAACAGAGATTGAAAAAGAAACTGATAAAAAAAAAGATGACATCAGCGGAATTAAAGGGCGTCCTTCCCAATTGAAATCACATGCAAAAATATCGAACAAATTTGTTGGTACACTTGAAAACAACACTTACCTTTTTGTAAGATAAATTAATTTTACTTAAATAGTTTTTAGTATCGAACTTAAATAATTTTTCACGAACAGGACAAATACAACACCAAAGTATACCTTACAGCAACAAGAACGTTTGATGTACGCGTTTCTGGTGGACACAGCGCCAGGATTCGATTGTATCTGCCACCCGGAGTACGTTTTGACTCAGATTTGGATTCTATAGGATCCGGAGGAGCGGGTGCTAGTCCTGATGACGACCGCAAGTATCCGCTTATTGTGCACGTTGGTAACGGTCCAGGGACTCAGTCCGTAGTAGACACTTGGCAGTCGGATTGGTCTATACAGTATTTAGCTGCGGCTCATGATTACGTAGTGGCCGTCGTGGACGGTGGTCGTGGATCCGGAGGCCGAGGATACGACCTGTTGCTATCGATATATAAACGTCTGGGAAATTACGACGTTGCAGATCAATTAGAAGTCACTGAGTAAATGCATAATTTAAAAATAAAAAATACTTTGCACAATTATGATAACAAATTAATTTTTACTCGATAAATGTATGTAATTACACAGGACAACAGTCATTTTCTTATTTGTAATTAATATATAAATTCTTTTTGGAAATTTAACGTTGATTCCGAATCTGGTTACAGATTTTTTTCTATTATACAGTATAAATCAAAAATCATAATGCACAAGTTAATATATGTGTACAGCCAAAATTATCTATTAAATAAAATTTAAATGATTATTATTTATTGATTAAAGATTCATAATTGTAAATTAAACTGAAAAAAGTTATACTCGAAAGTTAAGCTTATTTTTTTAGCTTCGATGCAATGCTGAGAAAGTATTAATTTTACCATGATGCGTTTTTTTTTTGTGTGTCTGTTGCCACTTTTTCTCAACTCTCACTAGACCGATTTCTTACAACAATACGTCAAAATATCACAAATCGTATCTAGTTGAAGACATTATTCTTAAAAATTGAAAAAATTTCCCTTGTTCCCCGCAAATGAGGGAAATCTCCAAAAAAATTACAATTTTTAAAATCGGTAAATTTTATCATTTTTTTAAACTTTTTATTCACCCCTATAATACGAGGTTCAACTCCGCCTGTGACCATTTATATTTTGCATTATTTTTTTGTTAGAAAAAAAATGTTCAAATAATTTGATTTTTATCTCATTTAGATTCAATAACTTCAACTTGAAACATACATATAAAAAGTAGAACTTTTACAACTTAACGTTTAAAAATATTATGGAAATACTGCGTTCTTTAAACATATGTCAAATTAAAGCATGATTTTTTATTTTTATCACGTTTAGATTCAATAACTTCAATAAATATCAAGGTTCCCACCACTGTAGTCTCCCCTCATAAGTAGAAATTTCTTATTCATGTTAATATTATTTTACTATGTGTTTTTTTTTTGTGGCTGCGATCTATTTTCCCAACCCTGAATTAACCTACTTTTTTCAACGATATGTCAAATGATTACAATTCATATTTAGTAAAAGATATTGCTCTGAAAACTTGAAAAAAATGCCTTAATAAAATAAAGAGTACCTTAAACAGCTTTATCCATACAAATAATTAAAGTGATTCATTTCTAATATTTTTAATGTATTTCTTGTCGAATTAGATTTGATATGATAAAAGTATTCAACTACAAAAGTAAATAATTTTACTTTGTAATTTATTACTACCAGTCTATAATATTCCAAATTTTTTTGTAACATGATGCTATATAAATTATAAATCTAAAAAAAAAATGATATTTAGTTTCACCTGAATTTAACAATGGATTTTTACAATTATAATCAATTTTTATACTACGCTCAATTGAGTAAATCTTTTTAACAACTTTTTTTTTATTGGTTTTTTTAGTTAAAGTAAATGATTAAAATTATTTCAGTTCTTTATATTTCAATTGTAGAATCTTTTTAAACACCAAAAGTAAATTATAAATAATTACTATGATTTATATTTAAGGGTTCTATTATGATAAAAATGCAAAAAAAATAGAGCTTTTCTGATAAATTTACTGTAAATAGTAATTTTTGAATTTAAGAATTACTAATCTGGATATAATTGAGGAAATAGAAGTTGATGTTGCTTTTGTAATTATCCACCAATTTCTTAGAATTAAATACTATCTACAGATTTGCATAGAATCGTTTCTTATGATAGTGATTTTAGTCACTATCAGATTAAATATATACTGGACCCTACTATGCCACGTTCCCATTGTACCGCAACTCCAGTGTTCTGGGTTTTTAATGACAGTCTAACTCAAATTTAAAAATATCGGTTAGACTTGATAGAACAGTCCTAAATTTTGCACAGGTCTTATTAAATATCATGATAATTAATGACTAATTATTAACTATGTCAAAACTAGATGCGTTAGATAAAAAAATCTGAAGTCAGATTTGAGACTATCGTTGAAATTTCATAAAGAATTCATATAAAAATTTTAAACAATACAAACATATTTATTATTTGTTGTTTAGTGTTATTTATTCTATAGAATGTGTTAATACTGTTAAAAGGTATTTACGAGATAACTTGCATTTTGTGGACAAGAGACGAGTAGCCGTTTGGGGATCAGCTGGTTATGGTGGTTATCTGGCGGCTAAATTACTATTGACAACTATGATTCAAGAAAAGAAACGAGGACGACGAAACTCTGGTAATGGCGGTGGATCATATCTACCTCTATTCCGATGCGGCATCGCTATTGCACCCGTTTGCTCCTGGAATCTTTATAGTAAGACACAATAATTATAATATTGTTTGCTAAAATCGCTCTCGATTCCTTGATGTATATCTGTATATAAATTATTACTTTGATCAATAGTGTTCGTTTGTTTTTATTTTAGCGTCTTTTTATTCGGAAAGACATTTGGGCATGCCAGATGAGAATGCCAAAGAATATCATGATTCAGATTTGGTTACCGACGTCCAACGATTGTTGGAAGTACACAAAGAGGAAGAAAGTCGCCGCTCACCACCAGTATTTTATGGACAACGGCATTCCAGCGGCCGATATAACAAAGATGGTGGTTATTACTCTTCTTCATACACGTCGACGTCAGCACAATCGGAAGCGCCTCCTTACCAATACCCCGAATTCTATTTGGTGCACGGCACTGCCGATAACAAAGTTCACGTACAGCACACAATGCGGTTGACTTCAGCCCTGACGCGAGCAGCCGATGGACTACTTCGTTTTAAACAGCAAATGTATCCAGACGAAGATCACGACCTAGCCGGCGTTCGATCGCACTTTTACGCGGGAACGTCCGACTTCCTAGAACAGTGTTTCAGTAACAAAGATGGCGAGGAAGAAGACGATGAAGACGGCGGCGGAAACGACCGGTTTACCTACCGCGACCGCGATATTCACTACAACCAAAATGGTCGTGATTAACATCCTTTAAGGCAACCACCGTTTTACAAATTTTTCGTGGTATGACACCTGGTCTATTACAATTTAGTATTCTAGAAAATTAATTATAAAGGAATGTTATTCATTGCAGTAAATATAGGCGTATCCAAGGGGGGGAGGCTAAATGGGTTATATCCCCCCGTTGATTAATTATTACTATCAACAGTATATGACTTTGGCGCTAATAAGAGAATGTGATAACCAAAAATAAGTCATTAGTTTCTCTCTTGAAAAAATGCTGCGTACGATACTATCAGTTAACGGATATTGTTTAAATTCACAGTCTTGATTAATTCATTTATAGATAATTGATCTCAAGTTAGAAAATTGTCCAAAACCTAATAGAATGTATTTTGAATTTGTTAGTATAAATTTACAAACAATTCTAACAATAAGAAAACTAAAAATTTGATTTTTGGTGATATTATAAACAATGACAAAAATTACCCTCCTCCAAATTTATATATGTAAACTCTGACTAATATGAAATTTCTTAAAAATTATATTATCATTCGACACGTGCGTAGACAAAATTGAACGTTTTGATAACATAACATTTTGTGTTAGGCGTAAAAAAAGATATTTGAAAAAATGTTATAGTTAAGTAATTTATAGTTTTCACGTATTTAAATTAGACTATAGTTTTTGGACGTAAAAAGATTTTTTTTACTTATTTTATCGTTAAAATACTTTTTTAAATAGGCAATGATAGTCCAAGAAATGGAGTGCCCTGCGCCCTTTGGTCACTATTGTCAAAGTTTACATATAGCTTTTTCGTTTACCTATTTTTTATACAAATATGTATTATACAACTATTTAAATTATTTATTTATATTTTAAAGTCATATTATTTTAAGTTATATTAAATTGATTATGTTAATCAAAGAGTGCTTAACTTCTCCAAAACTATTGTCCAGTATTTATTTGTCATATAAACTATTTTCTTTCTTACTTATTTTTAAAAATGCATAGATTATAATAAAACAGTAGTCTTTAGGCTGGTGAGGTAAATTCAAATCTAAGGGGCGAAGGGTATTAGTCCCCTTTTAATAGATTAAGTACAAAATCATAATTTAAAAAATATTAAGGGTTGGATCAAGACTAGTTCCATTATTTATATACATTGTATATATTAAAATATTATTGAGTCCTCCTAATAGTTAATATTTTTCGATTAAAATAATAATAACTATAATTTGGGTTTGAGGGTTATCAAGTGCTCTAAAACTGTAATAGTATTAAAATAAACCTCAATTGGTAAACTTTGAACTTTTTGAATTCCCTTATCAAAACACTTAGATATGAAATATAGTTACAAAAAAGGAGCAATATTATTGTACCATCAATGTCAAAGAAATTGAATAGAAATAATATTTTAAAATTATGTAATATATATTATATCATTTTCATCACTGTAGTGATGAAAAGTCTTGTATGTAATAGTAAAATCTATGACTATACAATAATAATTAGTTAAATATCTTAATTTATTAATATTATACTTGCATACTATAAAATTATTTATAAGTTTTAAAAATAATTATTCTATAGTAATATAAAATTTTAAATTTTAATTAAATTAATTTTACACTTGTTCTGTATTTTAAATTTCTGTTGATTTTGTAGAGAATTTTTCTGAAATTATATGTGGTTTTTAATTATCTTTCTACAATTAAATAAATACTACTTGGAAAACAGTTAAATTTAAGAAGTAACTTTCTTTACTCAAAAAAATGTTAATTTTCAAATCTCATAATTGGTTAATCTGGACCAGCAAATTATTGTCATATAATAGTATTGATTACTTACCTCATGTTTTATACACTTTTCTATCAAGTGAAATAACTTAAAACATAAAAAAAATTTAAATCATTTCTTTTTAATGACAACAATCTTAATTTTTTTTTAATATATTAAAACTCATGCCATTAGAATAACCAAATAATTTATCTTATAAAATCACACTTAAACCATTTTTGTTATTAGTATTATTTTATTTATAAGTATTGTCAAAAAGTATATTGTGGAATTTATAAATTTATTGAAAACTTTTTTATCCTTTAATTTCTTGATACAAAGTATTTTTCCATTTAATGTTTTAATTATTTTAAATGTTTAAACATATATTGTATAGTTTATCGCAAATTCTTGAATCTATTTTTATACTTTAACATATTAACTTCTACATTGTGTCGTTTTGTTTTATTATATTTTAAGAGACACTACAGTAGCACCATTCTTCCATTGTCTAATAATGTTTTAATACAATTTAAATGTTGTTGGAAAATTATTATTAATTGATTTATTGGTAATTATTTAAATTATTAGATAATAATTGTTACCTTTTTTTTTTTTTTATTTAATATTTTTAGTCAAAATATAAAAAATTCATTAGTTAAATAATGTCTTAAAATGATAACTTTGATCATGTAAATAATACGACTTCAAATTTCCAAATTCACAGATTAATCATTAGTGTTCAAACATTTCTTTATCTATTATGTGAAAAACATTGCCAAACTGGATATATTTTTAAAAATATATGGCATAGTATATTATTATCATGGTTAGTTTAAAAACACTTTCCAATGGCTTTATTTAATAATAGATAAAAATTCATAAATTTATGAATAAAAATTGAAAATCTACAAACTTGTGAGATTTTAAAGTGGTTGTGATATGAGTCAAAATTAATGAGTGTTGTATTCTTATAATAATTTAGAAATTAAGTTACTAAGGGAAAAATCCTATTTCATACTCATATATTATACACATAATAATTACATTTTGTACATAAAAAAAAATGATTTATATTAATTGAAATACCTTATTAAAATAATTTTATCAAAACTTAAGACTAAAAGCTGGAGCAGGAGGGAGTCGTGCTAAATTATTTCCTAAATGGAATCCTTCATCTTCTTTAAGTTGTTTATAATCTCTACCTCCAGATGGTGGTTTAGGACTAGCAGCTGCTTTGCGAGTGCCTCCTTCACTTTTAGCTGGCCAAGTTGGAAACATTGCCGGGTCAATAGATAGTGGTAATTCTAAAAAATATTTATGTTGAAGAGCTTCTTCTGCTGTTATTCGCGTAGCTGGATTATATGTAAGCATTCTATCAAAAAATATTAATTGAAAATGATACAATAGAATTTAGTTTTTGGTTTTCTACAATAACAAAATAAAAATAATTTAATATATTTACTGAAGTTATAATATGAAATTTTTAGAATATCTTTTGATATTTCAATAACTCTAAGCATTTATATTTCTAAGTTTTAATTGTCCCTTAATAATTCACTTAGCTTTCTCTCTAACTCTCTTCTAATATATTATTTCGAGACTACCCCAACGAAAATTTAGTTGATAATTTTCACAAAAAAACGCTTACCGTTCGTTTACCCTATAATTACTCTTCATGAGAGAACTATCCCCCTCTGATTGCGTTACATATCTAGGTGTCAAATTGAACCCTATGATCAGGTGGCTTCTTTACTTCCGTTTTACTTTCTCGACCACTGCCCACTGTGCAAATTTCCAACGCTATATCAACAAAACATCCTGGGCTTGCATCTTTCTCATTACTTATTATTTTTATATTTGTTATCCACGCTAAAATTTAATATGATTCTTTTTTATTTTCTTCAGCTTCCAATACCCATATAAAAAAATTAAATTCTTCTTATCTGCATACTTGGCAGAATTTTTGGTGTTCTAAAGTTATCTAAATCAATATTAATAAAAATGTTAACTCACTTTTTAAGTATATCATATCCTATATCTGTTAAGACACCCTCTTTTAAGAATCTTCCTTTGAAATTAGAAGGAGGATAATCAGGTAGTGACAATTTTGTTACCATACACAAATTAGAATATCCGGGCCAAATTTTTTCATTTGGTGTGCCAAAAGTGGAGAAAATTTTTTTCACTTGATCATATTCAGACTTACCAGTGAATAATGGTTCCATTAAGAGAAACTCGGCAAATATACAACCAACTGACCACATATCAATTGGTGTTGAATATTCCTAAAATAAATAATTATTAGTTATAGTATTTTAAATTTATTAATAATATTTGAATAAAAAAACCAGCACAGTGGGGGCTTAGCATAGTAGGGTCCAGTATATATTTAATCTGATAGTGACTAAAATCACTATCATAAGAAACGATTCTATGCAAATCTGTAGATAGTATTTAATTCTAAGAAATTGGTGGATAATTACAAAAGCAACATCAACTTCTATTTCCTCAATTATATCCAGATTAGTAATTCTTAAATTCAAAAATTACTATTTACAGTAAATTTATCAGAAAAGCTCTATTTTTTTTGCATTTTTATCATAATAGAACCCTTAAATATAAATCATAGTAATTATTTATAATTTACTTTTGGTGTTTAAAAAGATTCTACAATTGAAATATAAAGAACTGAAATAATTTTAATCATTTACTTTAACTAAAAAAACCAATAAAAAAAAAGTTGTTAAAAAGATTTACTCAATTGAGCGTAGTATAAAAATTGATTATAATTGTAAAAATCCATTGTTAAATTCAGGTGAAACTAAATATCATTTTTTTTTTAGATTTATAATTTATATAGCATCATGTTACAAAAAAATTTGGAATATTATAGACTGGTAGTAATAAATTACAAAGTAAAATTATTTACTTTTGTAGTTGAATACTTTTATCATATCAAATCTAATTCGACAAGAAATACATTAAAAATATTAGAAATGAATCACTTTAATTATTTGTATGGATAAAGCTGTTTAAGGTACTCTTTATTTTATTAAGGCATTTTTTTCAAGTTTTCAGAGCAATATCTTTTACTAAATATGAATTGTAATCATTTGACATATCGTTGAAAAAAGTAGGTTAATTCAGGGTTGGGAAAATAGATCGCAGCCACAAAAAAAAAACACATAGTAAAATAATATTAACATGAATAAGAAATTTCTACTTATGAGGGGAGACTACAGTGGTGGGAACCTTGATATTTATTGAAGTTATTGAATCTAAACGTGATAAAAATAAAAAATCATGCTTTAATTTGACATATGTTTAAAGAACGCAGTATTTCCATAATATTTTTAAACGTTAAGTTGTAAAAGTTCTACTTTTTATATGTATGTTTCAAGTTTTAAACCCCCCTGTATAAAGGAAATATTAAATTTCTAATTTTAAAATAAAGTATGTCAATTGAAAGAAGTAAACATAAAGTGTTTATAAAAAAAATTGTATTGATCATGCATTCTTCAAAAAGTTATAGTAATTTGAATTTGAAAATATAGAATAGAAAATTGAAAATTTTAACACAAAAATAGCAGGTTTTAATTACGACAGCTATTTGTGCGTAGAATATAAATCATCAGGACAAATTTTTTTTTTCATTTTATAGTACATGATATGACATGTTAAATTTTCAAAAAAATATTGTAAAATAAAAGGGAAATATCTAAGGTTACAATATAAAAAAAATTATGGTTATTTGTTAATTTTTGGAAAAGTTATGGAAGTTTAAAAAAAAATGTTGAAATTTATCGATTTTAAAAATTGTAATTTTTTTGGAGATTTCCCCCATTTAAGTGGAATGAGGGAAATTTTTTCTACTTTTAAGGGTAATGACTTCAACTAGATACGATTTGTGATCTTTTGACGTATTGTTGAAGGAAATTTGTCCAGTAAAAGCTGAGAAAGTGTCAACGGACATAAAAAAAAAAACACATCATGATAAAATACCTTCTCATTTTCACATTGAAGCTAAAATATAAAACTTACTTTGTCGCCTAAAAGTAATTCAGGTGAACGGTACCATAATGTAACGACAACTGGTGTGTATGCTTTTAGTGGAGATCCATATTCTCTTGCTAAACCAAAATCACCTACTTTCAAAATGCCTCTGTGGCTTAAAAGCAAATTTGATGTTTTCAAGTCTCTATGCAAAATCCAATTGTCATGTAGATGTGCTACAGCTGAAAGTAGTTGTTGCATTAAACATTTTACTTCACCTGAAAAGCCATTTCTATTAAAATCACATAGAACAAAAAATTATTAACTGATCTTCTTAAGTTAAGATAACTTTGTTATTGTGTATATGTTTTAAGATGAAAATGCATAAAAAGATATAACATTTAAAGTTCCAAATTTTTGAGTTAATATATAATACACAAGAGATTACAAATACAGGTAGTTAATTGGTTTAGTATGACATCGATATTAGCAGGTACACAGCATTGTTATTATCAATGGTAGTAAGGTACATTGTTGTGAGTTTATAAATACATTAACTGACAATACAAAAATATCTAATATCTAATAAACAAATAAAGTTATATTAAAAATTCAAATGCCATCTACTATTAAATTCAAAACTAAAACATTTTATTAATTCAAAATATGTGTTCCCATATAAAAAAACCCAGCACAGGGGGGTCGCGGCACAGTGGTGACGTGGCATAGTTGGATCAAGTATAATGATATCTGACAGTGATTAAAATCACTATCAAAAAAAAACGCTTCGATGCAAATCTTTAGATAGTGTTTAATTTTAAAAAATTGGTGGATTATTCCAAAAGCTTCATAAACTGCTAGTTCCTTATTAATATCCTGATTAAGA